CCAGCACGCACACTCGCCACAGCCTGCTCGCACACTCAGCCCCAGCCCCAGCCTGCACGCACACTCGCCGCAGCCTGCACTCACACTCAGCCCCAGCCCCAGCCAGCACGCACACTCGCCACAGCCTGCTCGCACACTCAGCCCCAGCCCCAGCCTGCACGCACACTCGCCGCAGCCTGCTCGCACACTCAGCCCCAGCCCCAGCCAGCACGCACACTCGCCGCAGCCTGCACTCACACTCAGCCCCAGCCCCAGCCTGCACGCACACTCGCCGCAGCCTGCACTCACACTCAGCCCAGCCCCAGCCTGCACGCACACTCGCCGCAGCCTGCTCGCACTCAGCCCCAGCCCCAGCCTGCACGCACACTCGCCGCAGCCTGCTCGCACACTCAGCCCCAGCCCCAGTCTGCACGCACACTCGCCGCAGCCTGCACTCACACTCAGCCCAGCCCCAGCCTGCACGCACACTCGCCGCAGCCTGCACTCACACTCAGCCCCAGCCCCAGCCTGCACGCACACTCGCCGCAGCCTGCTCGCACACTCAGCCCCAGCCCCAGCCTGCACGCACACTCGCCGCAGCCTGCTCGCACACTCAGCCCCAGCCCCAGCCTGCACGCACACTCGCCGCAGCCTGCACTCACACTCAGCCCCAGCCCCAGCCAGCACGCACACTCGCCGCAGCCTGCTCGCACACTCAGCCCAGCCCCAGCCTGCATGCACACTCGCCGCAGCCAGCACGCACACTCAGCCCCAGCCTGCACGCACATTCGCCGCAGCCTGCTTGCACACTCAGCCCCAGCCCCAGCCTGCACGCACACTCGCCGCAGCCTGCTCGCACACTCAGCCCCAGCCCCAGCCTGCACGCACACTCGCCGCAGCCTGCACGCACACTCAGCCCCAGCCCCAGTCTGCACGCACACTCGCCGCAGCCTGCACTCACACTCAGCCCAGCCCCAGCCTGCACGCACACTCGCCGCAGCCTGCACTCACACTCAGCCCCAGCCCCAGCCTGCACGCACACTCGCCGCAGCCTGCTCGCACACTCAGCCCCAGCCCCAGCCTGCACACACACTCGCCGCAGCCTGCACTCACACTCAGCCCCAGCCCCAGCCTGCACGCACACTCGCCGCAGCCTGCACTCACACTCAGCCCCAGCCCCAGCCAGCACGCACACTCGCCGCAGCCTGCACTCACACTCAGCCCCAGCCCCAGCCAGCACGCACACTCGCCACAGCCTGCTCGCACACTCAGCCCCAGCCCCAGCCTGCACGCACACTCGCCGCAGCCTGCACTCACACTCAGCCCCAGCCCCAGCCAGCACGCACACTCGCCACAGCCTGCTCGCACACTCAGCCCCAGCCCCAGCCTGCACGCACACTCGCCGCAGCCTGCTCGCACACTCAGCCCCAGCCCCAGCCAGCACGCACACTCGCCGCAGCCTGCACTCACACTCAGCCCCAGCCCCAGCCTGCACGCACACTCGCCGCAGCCTGCACTCACACTCAGCCCAGCCCCAGTCTGCACGCACACTCGCCGCAGCCTGCACGCACACTCAGCCCCAGCCCCAGTCTGCACGCACACTCGCCGCAGCCTGCACTCACACTCAGCCCAGCCCCAGCCTGCACGCACACTCGCCGCAGCCTGCACTCACACTCAGCCCCAGCCCCAGCCTGCACGCACACTCGCCGCAGCCTGCACTCACACTCAGCCCCAGCCCCAGCCTGCACGCACACTCGCCGCAGCCTGCTCGCACACTCAGCCCCAGCCCCAGCCTGCACGCACACTCGCCGCAGCCTGCTCGCACACTCAGCCCCAGCCCCAGCCTGCACGCACACTCGCCGCAGCCTGCACTCACACTCAGCCCCAGCCCCAGCCAGCACGCACACTCGCCGCAGCCTGCTCGCACACTCAGCCCAGCCCCAGCCTGCATGCACACTCGCCGCAGCCTGCACTCACACTCAGCCCCAGCCCCAGCCTGCACGCACACTCGCCGCAGCCTGCTCGCACTCAGCCCCAGCCCCAGCCTGCACGCACACTCGCCGCAGCCTGCTCGCACACTCAGCCCCAGCCCCAGTCTGCACGCACACTCGCCGCAGCCTGCACTCACACTCAGCCCAGCCCCAGCCTGCACGCACACTCGCCGCAGCCTGCACTCACACTCAGCCCCAGCCCCAGCCTGCACGCACACTCGCCGCAGCCTGCTCGCACACTCAGCCCCAGCCCCAGCCTGCACGCACACTCGCCGCAGCCTGCTCGCACACTCAGCCCCAGCCCCAGCCTGCACGCACACTCGCCGCAGCCAGCACGCACACTCAGCCCCAGCCTGCACGCACATTCGCCGCAGCCTGCTTGCACACTCAGCCCCAGCCCCAGCCTGCACGCACACTCGCCGCAGCCTGCTCGCACACTCAGCCCCAGCCCCAGCCTGCACGCACACTCGCCGCAGCCTGCACGCACACTCAGCCCCAGCCCCAGTCTGCACGCACACTCGCCGCAGCCTGCACTCACACTCAGCCCAGCCCCAGCCTGCACGCACACTCGCCGCAGCCTGCACTCACACTCAGCCCCAGCCCCAGCCTGCACGCACACTCGCCGCAGCCTGCTCGCACACTCAGCCCCAGCCCCAGCCTGCACGCACACTCGCCGCAGCCTGCACTCACACTCAGCCCCAGCCCCAGCCTGCACGCACACTCGCCGCAGCCTGCACTCACACTCAGCCCCAGCCCCAGCCAGCACGCACACTCGCCGCAGCCTGCTCGCACACTCAGCCCCAGCCCCAGCCTGCACGCACACTCGCCGCAGCCTGCACTCACACTCAGCCCCAGCCCCAGCCAGCACGCACACTCGCCGCAGCCAGCACGCACACTCAGCCCCAGCCCCAGCCTGCACGCACACTCGCCGCAGCCTGCACTCACACTCAGCCCCAGCCCCAGCCAGCACGCACACTCGCCGCAGCCTGCTCGCACACTCAGCCCCAGCCCCAGCCTGCACGCACACTCGCCGCAGCCTGCACTCACACTCAGCCCCAGCCAGCACGCACACTCGCCGCAGCCTGCTCGCACACTCAGCCCCAGCCCCAGCCAGCACGCACACTCGCCGCAGCCAGCACGCACACTCAGCCCCAGCCCCAGCCTGCACGCACACTCGCCGCAGCCAGCACGCACACTCAGCCCCAGCCTGCACGCACACTCGCCGCAGCCTGCTCGCACACTCAGCCCCAGCCCCAGCCTGCACGCACACTCGCCGCAGCCTGCACTCACACTCAGCCCCAGCCCCAGCCAGCACGCACACTCGCCGCAGCCAGCACGCACACTCAGCCACAGCCTGCACGCACACTCGCCGCAGCCTGCTCGCACACTCAGCCCCAGCCCCAGCCTGCACGCACACTCGCCGCAGCCTGCTCGCACACTCAGCCCCAGCCCCAGCCTGCACGCACACTCGCCGCAGCCTGCACTCACACTCAGCCCCAGCCCCAGCCAGCACGCACACTCGCCGCAGACTGCTCGCACACTCAGCCCAGCCCCAGCCAGCACGCACACTCGCCGCAGCCTGCACTCACACTCAGCCCCAGCCAGCACGCACACTCGCCGCAGCCTGCTCGCACACTCAGCCCCAGCCCCAGCCAGCACGCACACTCGCCGCAGCCAGCACGCACACTCAGCCCCAGCCCCAGCCTGCACGCACACTCGCCGCAGCCAGCACGCACACTCAGCCCCAGCCTGCACGCACACTCGCCGCAGCCTGCTCGCACACTCAGCCCCAGCCCCAGCCTGCACACACACTCGCCGCAGCCTGCACTCACACTCAGCCCCAGCCCCAGCCAGCACGCACACTCGCCGCAGCCAGCACGCACACTCAGCCCCAGCCTGCACGCACACTCGCCGCAGCCTGCACGCACACTCAGCCCCAGCCAGCACGCACACTCGCCGCAGCCTGCACGCACACTCAGCCCCAGCCTGCACGCACACTCGCCGCAGCCTGCACGCACACTCGCCGCAGCCTGCACTCACACTCAGCCCCAGCCCCAGCCAGCACGCACACTCGCCGCAGCCTGCTCGCACACTCAGCCCCAGCCTGCACGCACACTCGCCGCAGCCTGCACTCACACTCAGCCCCAGCCCCAGCCTGCACGCACACTCGCCGCAGCCAGCACTCACACTCAGCCCCAGCCCCAGCCAGCACGCACACTCGCCGCAGCCTGCACTCACACTCAGCCCCAGCCCCAGCCAGCACGCACACTCGCCGCAGCCAGCACGCACACTCAGCCCCAGCCCCAGCCTGCACGCACACTCGCCGCAGCCAGCACGCACACTCAGCCCCAGCCTGCACGCACACTCGCCGCAGCCTGCTCGCACACTCAGCCCCAGCCCCAGCCTGCACGCACACTCGCCGCAGCCAGCACGCACACGCACAAGGCCGGAGAGGCGGGCTTTACCACCCCCTAGTGGCCAGAGCAGAAAGGCCACCCCCGCGCTCCCGGCCCTCCGGGCTCCGCCGCGAACTCTCCGGAAGCCCCGGGACGCGGACCCCGCAGACAGGTTTTCAGCGAGGAAGCCGCGGCGGCCGCGGGGGAGTCACCCCGAGAGTCGGGGCGCGGCGGGGCCCGAAGCCGTGTCCGCCGCCTCCCAGGCTCCCGGGCCGCGCTCACGGCCCCGCGCTGGCTCCTCCCGGGCGGCGGCGTCCTCCGGGTTCCCTCCCGGCCCCGCGGAGCCCCCCGCGCCCGGCCCCGCGCGCAGCCTTGGCCCCTGCGCCCTCGGGGACCCGGCTGCCCTGCGGCGTCCCGGGGCTAACAGGCGCTCGGGCCGCTCGCCCCCGCCCCACGACGCGGTCGGCCCCGCAGCTGCCCGGCCTCCTGTCTCCGGGCGACCGGTGCTTGGCGGCCCGTGCGGCGGCCGTTGCTGGGCGGCGACGGGGGGAGGGAGTCGCGGGGGCCCGGGGGGCCCGGGCGGTGCGGGGGGGCGGGGGGCTGACCGGGCGGTGCGGGGGGGCCGGGGCGGGCCATGGCGCTGGCGGGGCCCCCGGGGGGCGCGGGCTGGACCTGGCGGCCGGTGGCCCGGGACGCGCTCCTGGCGCGGGCCTTCCACTCCTGCACCGAGCTGCGGGGCCGCTTCTACGTGGTGGGGGGCCTCCCGGGCGGAGGGGCCTCGGAGCCGAGCGGCGACACGGTGCTCTTCGACCCCGCCGCGGGCCAGGCGGTGCGGGGCGCCGGGGACGGCCCGCGGCGCAGCCACCACGACGCGGCGCCGGTGGGCGGGCGCTGGCTGTGCGTGGTGGGCGGCTGGGACGGCTCGCGCCGCCTGGCCACCGTGGCCGCCCTGGACGCCGAGCGCGGAGCGTGGGAGGCGTGGAGCGCGGCCCCCGGCAGCCGGCCACCCGTCGGCCTCAGCAGCCACACGTGCACCCGCGTGTCGGACCGGGAGCTGCGGGTGGCGGGCCGGGAGGGCGGGACCCGCACCCAGCGGCGCTGCGGGAGCATCTTCACGCTGAGGCTGGACCCCGGCGCGCGCACCTACTGGTACGGCCCCGCGCACCCCTTCCCGCGCCCCCGCCTCCCTTCCTCCCTTCCGTGCTTTCGCCACAGCAGAAGCAGAGCGCTTCCGTTCCCCAGAAAGCCCAGCTGAGGCCCGAACTCCTGCCTCCCCGCAGCTACAAGGAAGAGGGCTGCCGCACGGCCTCGCGCGCAGGCCACTGCGCTGCCCTGCTCCCGACTCCGGGGCCCCGCCCAGGCCACCAGCTATTGCTCTTTGGGGGCTGTAGCTCCCCCGAACCGGAAGTGGCTGGGCATTGGAGTCTGGGGAAGATTAAGGTATTCTCTACTCCCATCTTGCTGCGGGTGGAAGGGGCTAGAACTGTGAGGTCCGAACTCCTCCAGCCAACCCCTTCTTTCTCCCCGAAAGGAGGAGCCCCCTGCTGCCCCTCATCTGACGGAACAGCTTGCCAGGCTCGTGAGCAAGGGGCAGGGGGCCCGGCAGGGGCCTCGGGGACTGCGGCATCACTCATGCTCTGTGGTGGGGCCCTTTGCTGTGCTGTTTGGTGGAGAGACTCTGACCAGAGCCAGAGACACCATCTGCAATGACCTCTACATCTATGATACGCGTGAGGGCTGGCTGCTGGGGGGGGGGGGAGGATGGGGACATGGTAGGGAGACAGGAGAACCGCAGACGCAGGAGGATGGAGTGATGAGGTATAAAGAGGAGCAAAAATTAATTGACCAGTTAAAGGAATACAGAGAATATTAAACTGTGCAGAGACCCACAAATTGAGGAGAAAAAAAAAAACGGGGGGGGGGGCACCTGGGTGGCTCAGTGGCTGAGCATCTGCCTTCAGCTCAGGTCATGATCCCGGGGTCCTGGGATTGAGTCCCGCATCAGGCTCCCTGTGAGGAGCCTGCCTCTCCCTCTGCCTGTGTCTCCCATGAATAAATAATTAAAATCTTAAAAAAAAAAAAAAAATACAGGCAAACCTTTGGTCTCGTGAGAAACGCCAAAGTGCCAAAATGCTACTGCCTCATTAGCACCCTCTCTCTTACCCAACAGGCAAGTCCCCTCCTCTGTGGTTTCACTTCCCCTGTGCAGACCCTGGGCTGAAACGTGTGGGCCACCGGACCTGCCTTTGGAACGATCAGCTTTACCTGGTTGGGGGCTTTGGTGAGGATGGCAGGACACCCAGTCCACAGGTTTGCATCCTGGACCTATTTATCTAAAGAATAGTGCCAAGACGCACTGCCAAGCCTGTTTTGTTGCAGACTCCTAAAGCATTGCTCCCAGACCTATCTGCCTCATTTCAAATGCTTATTAAATTTCAATCTGAGTCAACATTTGTTTGTGAATCTTTTTTGGGGGAGGGCAGTAAACAAGTAGACACATCTTTATTTGCAAGGGGAAGAATAAAATATGGGACCTCCTCTGATACTGTGAGCCATTGGACTGATGGAACCAAGCCCCACAAGTCATAGGCTTTTCCATGCCTCATGCAGATCCCGCCCCTCATATTGGGAGAAAGCTTCAGGCTAGAGCTAAGCATTCTGACCAAAACATTTAATTAACAAAAAATATTACAATAGCAGAGAAAATAATAATAATAACAATAAAGAGAAATTAGAAGAAGTGGGAGTCAGGGTAGAAAAAAATGCAAACGCCTTGGTTCCTAGGAGACCAACACTCCAGCTGAGCTGGACTTAGCCCCAGCCCCTTCTGAGTTCTCCTTGGCTGCTGGCTTCTCATCTTCCCCCATGAGACGAATGTTGTGCTTTTCCCGAAATTCATTTAATTCTCTTCCTTTTGCCTGAAGCTGCTGTGTAAGGGTCTCAATGATCTTCTGTATCTAGAGGCCAAGCGACAGGGATTATATGAGGATTTCAGGACTCCCTTCCCCTACCTGGTACAGACTATGGCTGGAGGATGTGAAGGAGGGATGATACCTTTAGCCTCACCAAGTATTGATAGTAGAATCCAAAGACTAAAAGTATGCCTTTCTCAAATACAATGATTTATGAACTTCAATGTACATAAGAATCACTTGGGCTGTTTGTTTTTAAAATGCCACTCCATGGGCAGCTGGCACAGCTGGTAGAGCATGCAACTCTTGGTTTCGGGGTTGTGGGTTCAAGCCCCACGTAGGGCACAGAGATTACTTAAAAAAAAAAAAAAAAAAAAAGGCCACTCTATAGGCCTCACCTCTAATTGTTCTGAATCAGTGGGTCCAGGAAATTGCATTTTAAATCAGTTCCCCAGGTGACCTGGATGCAAGTACCCATGGACCACACTGTGAGACACACTGCTCTTACCGCCGCCTCTCCCCCAAATCAGCCAGGCCACAGAGCGCAAGGAAAAAGGCGGACAGCCAGCAGCCTCTCCTGTCAGAGGAGTTCGACTTACTAGAGCATAAAAAGCACCAGCTAACGGGCCTTCCATGCGGTCTTCACCATGGGTTCCCACCCACTTGCTTATACCACGTTTCCTAAATCCTGGCCCCCCCCCTCCCCTTTGCTCCCAAAGCTTCTACTGGAGGACTCCTGCTCACCTGCTCCTTGTTGTTCTCCAGGGCAGGCAGCACCTCTTTGACAGTCCGCTCCACCAGCACGCCCCCAACCATTCGGTAGCACCTGCGGGCCTCATCGACCTCCTTCAAGGTGTCAATCACCAGGCTGCAGCATGGGGACAAGGCAGATCTGAGAATGCAGCCCCTCTCTGCTGCAGCCTTCCCTTACAAATGGCCTCTCCAACTTTCCTACTGACCGGTGCTCCCCGACCTCCTCACCTGTGCTCATTCAACTCCATCTCCAGCTCAGCTGCTTTGGATGCCAGACCCCGCTGCTCCTGCCGAAGACGGTTGAAGCCAGCGATAACCTTGGAAGATGAAAGTTAAGTGAGAGAGGAGACAGTGGACATGGCTGAGGCTCAAAAAACAACACAGGATGGCAAGCTCTGGATACCTACCTTGGAATAGGAGTAGGTCCAAGTTTGTAATTTCTACCTGTAGTCTGTCTGAAATTCCATTCACTAAACACTTACCGAGAACCTACTCTGTGGGGGAACTTAACCAGTCCTTCTCGCAGCTTCTGTGTGGTGACGAATAGGCATTTATAATACAGGACGGTGGGGAGCTCCTGGAGCACCTGCAGAGGAGCTCAGACTTGCAGGTAAAGAAGGCTCTAGGGAAAGGCTTTGTAGGGAGTACTCTCGTTTGGCTCTACCCAGCATTCCTCCCACAAGGGAACTGCCTTCCTTAGCTCAGGGGGTGCTTGTGGGGCTACTATTGACAGGACCCTTGCTCCCTGACCACAGGGGCAGTCCACAGGGGCAGTGACCTATTCTGCACCAGAGTGTCTGTTCAGGAACTGACTCTGGGGTAGAGACAAACAGGTACAGAAGACAGCTGTAGTGAAGACAACTAGATGTCCTATAGAGATGATCTTCCATCCCTCTTCCTGAAACCCTCAAAGCTGCCCTAGTTCTTGAACTTTTTTTTTTAAATAAACATTTTATTTATTCATGAAAGACACAGAGACAGAGAGGGGCAGAGACACAGGCAGAGGAAGAAGCAGGCTCCATGCAGGGAGCCATGTGGGACTCAATCCCCGGACCCCAGGATCACACCCTGAGCCAAAGGCAGACACTCAACCACTGAGCCACCCAGGCGTCCCCCCGCCCCAAGTTCTTGAACTTGGTGTGACCCAGTCCTTGAACCTTTCTTTTCATTGTGTTCAATTCTCTGAACTGCCCACTATCCTTCCAGAACACTACTTAAAAAGAAACAAAAAAAAGTTGGCTGGAGTCTGTTTCTGTAGCCTAGAAACCCTAACATAGGCTTGCAGAGAGACACTGCCTTAACTGGAGCCTGAAGATGAGAAACTGGGGGAGGAAGGGGTGCAAGAGAAGTGTGAGAAATGGGATCCCCGGGTGGCTCAGCAGTGGAGCGTCGGCCTTCGGGTCAGGGCGTGACCCCGAGGTCCCGGGATCAAGTCCCACGTCAGGCTCCCTACATGGAGTCTGTTTCTCCCTCTGCCTGTCTCTCTCTCTCTCTCACGAATAAATTTTTTTTTTTAAAAAGTGGGGGGGAATCCCTGTGTGGCTCAGCGGTTTAGTGCCTGCCTTTGGTCCAGGGTGTGATTCTGGAGTCCTGGGATCGAGTCTCGCACTGGGCTCCCAGCATGGAGCCTGCTTCTTCTTCCTCCTGTGTTTCTGCCTCTCTCTATGTCTATCATGAATGAATGAATGAATGAATGAATGAATGAATGAATGAATGAATAAATCTTAAAAAAAAGAGAGGAAAAAAAAAGCAGTGTGAGAAGTAATATATGTAAAGGCCCAGAGGAATGATTACTACCAGCTCCCTGTTTCCTGGAAACAGAGCAGGGAATCCAAACAACGTGCAAAGCAGACGGTACTAACAGCGCAGCCACCGTGACTTTTAGTACAGGGCCCCGATGACCGGGTTCAGAAGGAAGTATCAGATGAAAAGTAGAAAATGTAATGAGGAAAGAAAATCATGGTGGTGGATGGGATACAGAAAAAGACGAAATAAAAACCGGAGGCCTGCAAAGACCAGGTTTCAGGCTTTGTCTCTGCCACATACTGGCCCTGTGGCCTCGGACACTGAACCTGAACCCTATGGTTCTCGACCCTGGCTACTGTCAGAATCCCCAGGGGAGCATGAAGAGGGACACCGCAGAACAACTACACAATCACTGGGTGAGTCCCAGGTCTCGTATATGTTTTAAAAAGATTTATTTAGGGGATCCCTGGGTGGCTCAGCGGTTTAGCGCCTGCCTTTGGCCCAGGGTGTGATCCTGGAGTCCTGGGATTGAGTCCCACATCGGGCTTCTGGCATGGAGCCTGCTTCTCCCTCCTCCTGTGTCTCTGCCCCTCTCTCTGTCTATCATAAATAAATAAATCTTTAAAAAATAAAAAAAATAAAAAAATAAAAGATTTATTTATTTATTTTTAGAGAAAGAGAGAATGCCCTGAGCAAGGGGAAGGGGCAGAGGGAGAGAGAGGATCCCATGTAGACTCGCACAGAGTACAGGAGCCGGGGTTCGATCTCATGGCCCTGAGAACTTGACCGGAGCCCAAATCAAGAGTGGGATGGGTGGAACTCTTAACCTACTGAGCCACCCAGACGTCCCAGACCTCGGTATTTTTAAAAGCTCTCCACCATAATTCTAAGTGCAACCAGAATGGAGCCCCCGGCGTGACTCCCTGCGAGCCTTACTTGCCTGACCTGTGAAATGCACGTGGTACCTCCTTAGAGAGCCGCTGGATGACGTGACCCAGTTAGTGGGAAAGGGCTTTGTAAGCAGTCAGGTACGGTAACTACTACCTCGGCCTTCTCTCCAGACCCGGTGGCCGCCTGGCCGCTCCTGATCAGCTGAGCACTGAGCCCACCCGCTCAGCTCCTGCCCAGTCACTCACTCCTGTTCACACCATGTCCAGCATCACCACCTCTAATGACCAACCACCTCATGTTTACTAGGATCTTTCATCTCCAGCTCTCTCTGCAAGGCTCATCTACAGCTAGTGAGCTACTAATGGCTGACCCGTCCCACCACTACATCCCTTCTACTGCTCAAAAAGCCAATGAATAGGACTGACCAGCACCCTGTCACTCCAGCGGCAGGCACGCGGCCTTCTCCCAACCACCATCCTTCCATCTTGGTCCACTTCATCCACTTGTTCCAAAAATGCCTTGGAAATCTGTTCTTCCTTTGCCTCCACTGCCTATACCAAACTATTCCATTTATAGTTAGCTTCTTCTCCACTGTCAACGTGTGACAGATCAAAATCATTTCATCTAAGAAAATCTTAACCAGATTCTAGATGCTCTCCTAGCACCCAAATAACCCACTCCTCTGGATGTGTGTGGTTAAATACACCAATGAAATCAGCTTTAAGAGTCTAAAATTTCTGGGATGCCTGGGTGGCTCAGCTGTAGAGCATCTGCCTTTGGCCCAGGGCATGATCCTGAGCTCCCCACAGAGAGCCTGCTTCTCCCTCTACCTGTCTCTGCCTCTCTGTCTCTCACGAATAAATAAAATCTTAAAAAAAAAAAAAGTAAGTTCAACCCTGGTAAGTATAGAACTCTTTACATCCTCATGATTGGCACAAACAATTTTATACAGGACAAGGTCTTTTTCTCCCCACCCCCCCAGGTTTACTGAGATACAACTGACATATAACATTATATAAGTTTAAGATATACAACATGTCAGGCGCTAAACCGCTGAGCCACCCAAGGATCCCCTTTCCTTCCTTTTTGTTTAATTCATATAGTGTTGATAACTTCAAGAAAAACCCATAGTCATTACCTTTACCTCCAAAATGTCCTTTGGTCTTCTTACCTACATAATGTTTACTCTTACTGGGTAATGAAGTAAGAGAATAGGTCAAGAATTATGCCTGGATGCATCTGGAAAAGTGTTCGGGGTGTCACTCACTAAATATCTTCTTTTCAGTTTAGTGCCCTTTTCCTGACAAACACACTCAACTATCAAGAAAATGTCTTTGACCAGGGTGCTTGGGTGACTTAGGTCATGATTTCAGGGTCCTGAAGCCCAGAGTCATCAGGCTCCCTGCTCAACTGGGGATCTGCTTCTCCCTCTCCCTCTGCCCTTCCCTCTGCTTGTGTGCACTCATGCTCTCTCTCTCAAATAAATAAAATCTTAAAAAGAAAGAAAAGAGGGCAGTCCTGGTAGCTCAGTGGTTTAGCGCTGCCTTCAGCCCAGGGCCTGATCATGGAGACCCGGGATCGAGTCCCACATCAGGCTCCCTGAATGGAGCCTGCTTCTCCCTCTGCCTGTGTCTCTGCCTCTCTCTCTGTGTCTCTCATGAATAAATAAATAAAATCTGAAAGAAAGAAAGAAAGAAAGAAAGAAAGAAAGAAAGAAAGAAAGAAAGAAAGAAAGAAAGAAAGAAAGAAAGAAAGAAGAAAGAAAGAGAAAGAAAGAAAGAGAAAGAAAGAAAGAGAAAGAAAGAAAGAAAGAAAGAAGAAAGAAAAGAAAGAAAGAAAGAAAGAAAGAAAGAAAGAAAGAAAAGAAAAGAAAGAAAAGGAAAAGAAAAAGAAAAGAAATGATCCTTGACCTTACTACTCCAACAAATAACGGTTCCCAGCCTTCTCTTCATCTTTTAGGACTGGTCTGTACTCACTTCCTTTACTTCCACTGTAGGAGATTTAGCAATCTCTCTGCTTCTACCCACTAAAAGCCATAAGAGATCCAACTTTTAACAACTAAAAATGTCTCCAGGCATTGCCAAATTTCTCTTGGGGTGAAATCAAGCAGGTGGAGAACCACTGCCTCAGGGTAACAATGAGAACTAAAATGATGGACCGTGTCCAGTGCCCAACACAAGGTTGGTTCTCTACTCTCTTTTAACTTCCCGGACCCTTTGGTCCATTGATTTTCCTACCTCCCCGCACCCCCCCTTTTTATTTTATTTTATTTTTTAAGATTTTATTTATTTATTCATGATAGACACACACAGAGAGGCAGAGACACAGGCAGAGGGAGAAGCAGGCTCCATGCAGGGAGTCCAACGTGGGACTCGATCCCGGGACCCCAGGATCACGCCCAGGGCCGCAGGCAGGTGTTAAACTGCTGAGCCACCCAGGGATCCCCTCACCTCAACTTTTTAAGGATTTTATTTATTTATTCATGATAAACAGAGAGAGAGACAGACAGGCAGGCAGGCACAGAGACAGACAGAGGGAGAAGCAGGCTTCCTGCAAGGAGTCCGATGTGGGACTCGATCCCAGATCCCAGGATCACGCCCTGAGCCACCCAGGCATCCCCTCCTACCTCCCTTAACACTCCTTTCCTCTTTCTGAAGTTCTTCCTCTCATCTCTACAATGGAGACAGGATCTAAGATTCTTTTCATAGTACTTCTCCCTTTATCACTCATACTATTTCAACTGGTATTCTTAGCTACTTCTATGGCTTCCACAATTGCCTTAGTCTACTGCCTGCAAACCCAGGCCTTCTCGGAATTCTAGATCTATACTTCCAAGTTAGAGGAAGGAGTGCTGAAGTCAGGCAGAAATGGCTTAATAGTCTAACCATCAGCAAGGTACCTCTTTTTTGAATTTGTTTCTTCAGATAATGTGTCTCTTAGGATGTTTGAAGATCAGTGAGTTATATCAAGAACTTAGGACAATATCTAGCAAATAACAGATTGTCAATAAATAGTAGATATTAGTACAGAACATTTCCATCGTTTAAAACAATATTTATTTATTTATTTATTTATTTATTTATTTATTTATTATTTATTTATTTATTTATTTATAACACAGAGAGAGAGGCAGAGACACAGGCAGAGGGAGAATCAGGTTCCAAAGGCAGATGCTCAACAGCTGAGCCACCCAGGCGTCCCAGAACATTTCCACTTAACTGTCCTATAGATACCTAAAACTCAGGTCATTTGAAGCTGAACTGATCTTTTATCCCGTTTTAAACTGTTCCTTTTCTTGTCGTCTCCCCTATTTCTGCTAAGGACACCACTCTAACTCCTGAGGTAGGAAACCCTCGTTTCATCTCTGAACACACCCTTATCCCAACAACTGCCAAACTTATCACACCATTTCTGCAATTTTTCTTAGGCTCACTGACATCACCTAGCCCAAGACTTCGTTACCTCTGGAAGAGTCTTCTAAATTATCTCCCTATTTTTGGACTCTCCAAATTCATCCTATACACTGCTGCTAATTTAATTTTCCTAACACTTGGATGACATATAAAAATGTTCATGACATATTAGGCATAAAATGTAGATTACAAAATGGTATATCCCGCATAAAACTAATATTATAAAGTATGTAAATATGTAATGAAGATATGTCCTCCCTTTCCAGCTATACACACACACAAAACATAGGTTGTGGGGGGGGGGGACCTCCTTTGGAGTATATCAAAGGATATATTCCTGTGGTAATAATAGCCTGGGTGGCTCAGTGGTTGAGGGCCTGCTTTTGGCTCAGGGCATGACTCCCCAAAACCTGGGATCAAGTCCCACATCAGGCTCCTTGTAGGGAGCCTGCCTCTCCCTCTGCCTGTGTCTCTGCCTTTCTCTGTGTCTCATGAATAAAATCCTTAAAAACAAAAAAAAAGTGGCAATAATAGTTATCTTTGGATACTAGGATCATGAGTAATTTGTTATTTTGTACTTTTTCCTGTGTTTTCTACATTTCCACAATGAACATGTCTTATTTTATGTAACAGAAAAATAACAATAGGATGCCATATATTTTTCTATGGCTTCCTCACTGCTTACATTAAAAAGTTCCAAATTCTTTGCCATGCAAAGACTCAACTTGCTTTTAAGCACCACATCTTTCTTATACTTCATGATTTAGCTAAACTGACCAGTCACTGCACTTCCTGTCAGCCTGTGCTTTCCCTAGCTCTCTTCTTATCCTATTCCCTATATTCTATTTGCATTACCACCTGTTCAAATCTATCCAATCCTTCAGGTTCAGCTCAAATATCCCTAATATGATCGTGGTATAAATGGAAAAATGTATCTGATTCTCAAATAACTCACTCAATTAAAAGCCCTGCTCTCCAGTTACTGACCTTGGGTAAGCTAACTGAAGTCTCTGAAACTCAAATAACCTTACCTATAAAGGAAGGACAATATAACCTACTCCAAAGAACAGTAATTAAATAACAGAAGATAAAACAAGTGCCTAGTACAATGTGTTGCTTCCTTCCATCTTGTTTATAAGGGACATATATAGCTCACATTTGCAGATATGATAAATCACATATATTTTTTAAAAATTTAGGGGATACCTGGGTGGCTCAGCAGTTGAGTGCCTCCCTTCCGCCCAGGGTGTCATCCCAGGGTCCTGTGATTGAGTTCCACATCAGTCTCCCTGCATGGAGCCTGCTTCTCCCTCTGCCTGTGTCTCTGCCTCTCTCTCTGTGTGTGTCTCTCATGAATAAGTAAATAAAAAAATTTAAAAAACATTTTAAGTAAGCTCTAGGCCCAACATGAGGCTTGAACTCACAACCCAAAGATCAAGAATCACATGCTCTATGTACTGAGCCAGCCAGGTGCCCCAATAAATCTTACATTTTTTATCCAGTGTTCTCTCTGAAACACAAAGGCCACAGAATGTTAAGCAAGAACAGCCTCAGAACTCAATTATCACAACTGCTCGGTTTCTTTGGAGGGCTTCTTCTCTTTCTCCATAACCCCTTAAATATTGGTTCCATCCTTGTTCTGCTTCTTTTTTCAACTTTCTGCACAAACCCTAGATGATTTTGCCCATTACCATGACTTTTTATTTTATTTTATTTATTTATTCATAGACAGAGAGAGAGAGAGAGAGAGAGAGAGGCAGAGACACACAGGCAGAGGGAGAAGCAGGCTCCATGCAGGGAGCCCGATGGGGGACTCGATCCGGGTCTCCAGGATCACACCCCAGGCTGCAGACAGCGCCAAACTGCTGCGCCACTGGGGCTACCCCCATTACCATGACTTTATCAGCCTTCCATAAGCTTATAGTTCTCTAACCTGTATCTCTGACTCAAATGTCTGTAATTCAAAATTTATAAATCAAACCAACTATTAAATACCTCTACTTGAATGTCCTACAAGAAATCCAAACTCAAAACCCCAAGAGAAACGTATTCCCCACCCCCCTAGACATTTCCTATCTTCCTACATTGCCTATAAACGAGCATCCATCAAAGACATAAATCTGAGAAACATTCTAGTTTCCTCTCTATCCCGTTTTCTTCACATTGAAGTCTTTTTTTTTTTAAATCTTAGTTCTTTTTATTTTTATTTTTATTTATTTATGATAGTCACAGAGAGAGAGAGAGAGAGAGAGGCAGAGACACAGGCAGAGGAAGAAGCAGGCTCCTTGCACCGGGAGCCCGATGTGGGATTCGATCCTGGGTCTCCAGGATCGCGCCCTGGGCCAAAGGCAAGCGCCAAACCGCTGTGCCACCCAGGGATCCCATTCACATTGAAGTCTTGCAGTCCACCCCATACTTTAAGCCCACCTGCATCCCCAATAGGCCAGAAAGGCTCATGCCTCAGTGCTTTTAAGGACATTAGTCTCTGCCTAGGAAATTCTCCACTTCCTCCTCCTCCTCCTTCTTCTTTTTTTTTTTTTTTTAAGATTTTATTTATTTATTCACGAGAGACAGAGAGAGAGAGGCAGAGACACAGGCAGAGGGAGAAGCAGGCTCCATGCAGGGAGTCCGACGTGGGACTCGATCCCGGGTCTCCAGGATCACACCCTGGGCTGAAGGCAAATGCCAAACTGCTGAGCCATCCAGGGGTCCCTCCACTTCTTTCTTTGCTTGACTAACTTCTCTCATCCTTTAGAACTGAAGGATTATCTCTCCCAGAAAAACAAACACTATACTCATTACTGTGCAAAACACTTTGCATGCATTTCTTATCTAATAATAATCAAAACAGTGATGAAGTATGAACTGCCAAATTTTTACAAGGTGAGAGAGGGAAACTCATGGGAGGTCATCTACACATAATAAATAGCAGAAACGTGATTCTAACACAGATCTGCCAACCCCAGGGCACTTCTTATGCTCTTAGCCACCCCTCAGAAAGTATTAGGTTCCTTCTCCCTTCCCTCCCACCACAACACACGGGTGCGGGGGCAGAAACTATCCTTTACCCCCCTCCCTAAAATCCTGCAGCACTGGGCAGCCCGGGGGGGCTCAGCTGTTTAGCAACTGCCTTCAGCCCAGGGCCTGATCCTGGAGACCCGGGATGGAGTCCTGCGTTGGGTTTCCTGCATGGAGCCTGCTTCTCCCTCTGCCTGAAACTGTATGAATAAATAAATAAAATATTTTTTAAAAATCCCACAGCACTTTATACCTGTTAGGACACTCATCTTCTGCCTCATGTTAGCACTTCGTAGGTCTTATTTCACTGTGAGCTCTTTGATGGCGTGGGCCAACTTGAAAAATCTTTATGGAGACACCTTTGCCTGCGGTGACTATTCAACAAATAACTGACAAGCCAAGCGAGCGAGCCTGTAGCGGGAAGAGCTGTTGTCTTAGGTTTTCCCTTCTGTCGCGGGGATTTCTTGCCACCCGGACTACACACTAGCCCCGCCATTAGCGAACCAGGGCTCCCCGCGCGCCACAAAAGGCTCTCCGGGTTGTTTATCACACGTCTCCCGCTGCTGAGACACTGGGGGAGATGCAAACTCGGGTTACAACACGGTTTCTGGTCGCTCAGGAAATCCAATCTAATAACGACGTGCGGGTCAAAATAGTATGGGACAGCGGACTGCTGGGGCATGCGAGTCACGTGGCTCTGCAGAGTGAGGGCGACGGTCAGCGTGGTGCCGGGGTCACCGAACAGGCCACCCGGCCAGCCCGCCGGCCCCCGGGGAGGCCCCCGGGATTCGTGCCGAGCCGCCGGGCCCGGCCTATCCTGCGGGAGGGTGCGGGGAGGTAGACAGAGCGACGCCCGCCCCCCGCCCCTCCCCCTCCCGTCCCCTCCCTCTCGTCCCTTCCCTCCTCTACCCGGCCTCCCCTCCCCTCCCCTCCCGCCCGGCTCCGGCCCCTGGCCGGCTCACCCAGCACCCCGGGGGAGGGGGCGTGGCCTTCACCGACAAACCCTCCCGCGCTCTCCCCCGGACCCGGCCAGCTTCCCCGAGGACCCTCCCCTCTCGGGGCGGCCCCGCCACGCCGGGACGCGCGCGGGGCCTGCCCCAGCCAGCGGCGCCGCCCGCTCCTCGCACCGACTCGGGCCCGGCCCGGCTGCCCTCCTTCGCGCCCTCCGCTCCTCACCTGCTCTGCCGACACCGCCCCTTTCCCCGCGCCGCTGCCGCTGCTCTTGCCGGCGCGACCGCTGCTCTCCGCCATCTTCGCCGCCCGCTGCGCTTCCGGCCTGCGCGGCCCCGCCCCCGTGCGTCACATCCGGCCTGGAGGTTGCCGCCCCCTGGCCCCGGGGCCGCCGCTTCCAGGCCGCTCCTCCGGTCGGACGCTGCCGAGGGTTTCGGCGCTATCCTCATGTAGGACCCAGCGGTGCACTCCGCTGCGGGGCTTTAACCTGTGCAAGGGAGCCGCTGCCCCTGGGAGAGGCGGAGAGGCCGGGTTGACCGGAGCGTGGGGGCACGGGCTGGGATGTGTGTGGGTGCCGGTGCCCTTTGCCCCCCACGGGGTGGGAGGGGCGAGGGACGGTGAGCTTCCCCTCGGAGATCGGGGTAAGGGGCATCCGCCGAGCAGTGCCGCCGTGCAGGTGCCCAGAGAAGGGGAGAGGCTGGGGAGAGAAGGGAGGTTTCTTGGGGATGCCTTTTGAACCGCGGGTATGTTCCCCCGGGCGGGCAGGTGGGGGTGGGGGCGGGGTGGGGGGGGCTTCAATCTAATACGAGCCCATTGGAGCCGAGACAGGTGCCGAGCAAAGCCCCTTCCTCTGTCTTCCCACTTTATGACTCTTCCTGTAGCCCATAATTACTCCCAGTAAGACTTGGTGGGGAGGGGGGTGTTTCTCTGCGAGGGCCCTGCTTCAGCCTCCCAGTATGAAGAGAGGAGTCAGAGAATCCTGGAAATGTGCTGCTTGAGCACGGGAGTGGTGTCCTGATTTCTCACCTTCCTCAGGCTGGGCTTCATCATCAGGCCTCCTCACCAGCTCCTGCCCCTTCTCTTGTGTCCTGGATTCCGGATACCTCGACTCTCAGTACTTTGTGCACAGCCCAGGTAACATGTTTTGCTCTGTCCTTGGTACCTGACACTTAATAGATGCTCAGTAAATGTCTGTGATGTGCATAGATGGTGGGATACACTGGGGTGCCAACCATCACAGAACATTTCATCAGTGGGGAGCCCTGAAAAGCAGAAACCAAAGGGCAGCGCAGCCCTCCTGCTCCCCCACTTAAGACTCTGATAGTTAAATTTGCATTTCCCCATTCTGGAAATCTGAGCCCTGCCCATGCCATTCACAGGCCCAGAGCCATGGCTATCTCCTCTTCTTCCTGGGAACTGCCGCTGGTGGCTGTGTGCCAAGTGACATCAACACCAGACAAGCAGGAGAACTTTAAAACATGCGCCGAGCTTGTTCGAGAGGCTGCCAGACTGGGTGCTTGCCTGGCTTTCCTGCCTGAGGCATTTGACTTCATTGCAAGGGACCCTGCAGAGACACTACGCCTGTCTGAGCCACTGGGTGGGAACCTTTTGGGAGAATATACCCAGCTTGCCAGGTATCAGGGAAAGGGGGAGGGAAAGGTAGCTTCCTTGTTGGGCAGTGTCCCCGAATTGCCAGATAGGAGGGTCAAACATTGAGAAGAATTGTCAGTGTTGCCTCCTCTCCCCTGCCTTCCTCCAGGGAATGTGGACTCTGGCTGTCCTTGGGTGGTTTCCATGAACGAGGCCAAGACTGGGAGCAGACTCAGAAAATCTACAATTGCCATGTGCTTCTAAACAACGAGGGTGAGACCTGATAGCTCTTTAGCCACATCTTCCCAGGCTCTTCTACCTAAACTTGCCTTATCCAGAATTCTCAACTTGGTTTCCTTGGTCAAGAGTTTTAGGGGCGTTTGTACTTCTGAGCCTAGGTTATAAATAGTCTTGGTGGGAGGAGTGGAACTAAGTTGGGCTCCTAGCGCACCAGCACTGAGAGTTCCTTCCCCCTCTTACTACAGGGTCAGTAGTGGCCACTTACAGGAAGACCCATCTGTGTGACGTGGAGATTCCCGGGCAGGGGCCTATGCGTGAGAGCAACTCTACCATTCCTGGGCCCAGTCTTGAGTCTCCTGTCAGCACACCAGCAGGCAAGGTGGGAGTTGTGAAAGGATGAGGTGAGGAAGAGGAACAGGAGGGAGGAGAAGAGAAATACTTTGAAGTGGTAGTAGAGGATGGAAAAAAAGTCCTAAGGAGTGGGGTAGGCAGTGGGTATGACTGAATGCTGTGAACAACAGGACAGGGCTATTAGGCTGTTTTCATTCCAGATTGGTCTAGCTATCTGCTATGATATGCGGTTTCCTGAACTCTCTCTGGCATTGGCTCAGGCTGGAGCAGAAATACTCACCTACCCTTCAGCTTTTGGATCTGTTACAGGCCCAGCCCACTGGGAGGTAAGAGGACACCTCTTCAAAACAGAAGGGCCTTCAGGGCACCTGGGTGGCACTAGTTGGTTCAGCATCCGAGTCTTGGTTTCCACTCAGGTCAGGGTTGTGGGATCGAGCCCTTTGTCAGGCTCTGCACTCAGCACAGAGTCTGCTTGGGACTCTCTCTCCTCCTCCCTCTGCCCCTCCCACTTGTGCTCTCTCCCCTCAAATCAATCAATCTTTAAAAAAAACATAAAGGGCAGCCCCAGTGGCGCAGCGGTTTGGCGCCTTGGCACCGCCTGCAGCCTGGGGTGTGATCCTGGAGACCTGGGATTGAGTCCCACATCGGGCTCCCTGTGTGGAGCCTGCTTCTCCCTGTGTCTCTGCCTCTCTCTGTGTGTGTGTCTATGAATAAATAAAATCTTTAAAAAATAAATAAAAATTAAAAAAACCACACAAACATATGGGCCTTCTCTTAACTTTGTTCTCTCATGGCCCTACCAGCTGAAGGATTTTCTTCCTCTCCACTTACTGGGAAAATTCATTCCCTAGGTTGTTGCCTCTCATTATGTTAAAGAATAATTTACATAGTGAATCATTCCCAGGCAATGATCAGATTGGCCTGTAATGTCCATCACCCATAATTTCCCACTAGATGCTACTCGCTTAAGTGAATACACATCTCATTCCCCAGGTGTTGCTGCGGGCCCGTGCCATTGAAACCCAGTGCTACATAGTGGCGGCAGCACAGTGTGGACGCCACCACGAGAAGAGAGCAAGTTATGGCCACAGCATGGTGGTGGATCCCTGGGGAACAGTGGTGGCCCGCTGCTCTGAAGGACCAGGCCTCTGCCTTGCCCGAATTGACCTCAATTATCTGCGGCAGTTACGCCAACACCTGCCTGTGTTCCAGCACCGCAGGCCTGACCTCTATGGCAATCTGGGCCACCCATTGTCTTAAGACTTTGACTTCTGGAAGTTGAGACTCCCACTGTGAGCTGGTGTGGCTGTGACTTGAAGGCAGGACCCAGGCGCGGCTCCCCTCACTGGGAGAACCTTGACTCTCTCGAATGAACACAGGCTCAGCTTCTTGGGAAAGAAGAAGCTTTCACCTGAGCTCAGATTTCAGTTTCAGAAAGGTGGAATTTTATATAGTCACTGTTTATTTCATGAAAACTGAAGTTATGCTGAGGGCTGAGCAGCACTGGCATTGAAAAAAATATAACCATCATAAAGTCTGTGTCTGGACATCTCCTTTGGGAGCTGAAAGGGGAGGTGGTGGTGTACCAGCTAGACTAGGCTCCAGTTGTAGGCCTCCTGGCTCATTCAACATGCCTCCCTACCCAAATAAAAGTGCAACACTCAGTGCATATCCCAGCCCCATGCTCGGAAGCTTGGGAGTGGGGCAGAGAATGGGGAAGGAAAGAGCAGATAGGAGGTGATACTGAATGACTTCACATTCACCTGTGATGCCCTTTGCCCAAGCCAGAAGAAAGCAAAGGGGAAAGGGCTGCAGGGTACATGATTTATTTTCACTTGAACATGGAAGGGAAGTCTCACACTCCCCCTTCCCCTTCTCAGGGGGAGTGTATCTTAATCAGCACCCCCTTCTCCATCCACCCTGCTGGGAGGAGTGACTCAGCTGACCCAGTCCTCTTACCGTCCTCCCTTGGAGAGGGTTTGGCAAAGGGGACAAAGGACGGAGCCACACCAGGCAGAGGTCTGAAGCCCTGGAATGGAGGGAATGAGGCAGAGAGGAGCAGCACCAGAGGCCAGGAGAGAGCGGAAAGGGCCACAGCTTCTTTGTTTTTTAAAAATTATATAATTTGGGAGAGGGTGGTGATTAATTTCCAAAATACACTTCAGAGTCCCACCTTCCACACAGCTCCCTTACTCACAGCCCTTTGGTTTTTCAGACAAAACTGAAGAGCCCTCGTAAAGCCAGAAGTACGGATACCCCCCCCCACAATGCACCCGGAAGCAGTGTTCACTTGGATCCCTTAACAAAGACTACATCCCCGCAGCCTTTGCTTCTCCCTCTACGTCTGTCTTACGGCTCGGTGGCAAGGTGGCTGTGGAGACACACATTAGGAGGGTCCATGGAAAAGGGAAACGGGGGAGGCCCAGGCACGTGGGTGCAGGGAGGGGTGGGGAACACCGCTTCCATTTTCCTTTGTCTTTTCCTTTAAAAAAAAAAAAAAAAAAAAGGCAGGGGTGTGATTGGTCGGAAGGGCAGAGAACAAACCCCAGAACAGTATGTAAGCTCCAGAGGTGGGCGGTGGGAACAGTCCCCCGAAAGGTGAGGGGGAAAGGTCAGGGCAGTGCCTGCAGCATCAAGTTCCTCAGGAGTTTCTGACGGCCCAGCTCGTAGTCCTCCTCGTCCACGTTCACCAGCAGCTTGATGGCTTCGTGGCCCACAGCCTGCTTGAGGGAGTCTGTGATAAAGACGCCTTTAAGCGCCTCTAGTAGAGAGCCGTTGATGTAGTCGCGCCAGAATGCGTCGAGGTAGGTGAGCTCAGAGAACTTGATGTCACAGATGATGGAGCCCAGGTCCCGAGACTTGAGGATGGTGTTGGCCTGGTTAAAGCGCTCAAACTGGCGCTCGAGTGGGTCCTGCTTGTTAGAGAAGACGTTGCCTTGCAGAGCGGTCTCATGCTGGCAGTACTCAGCCCGAACCCGCAGTCTGATGTCTGTGGCGAAGAGAAGACATGAACAAGTGGTTGCAGTGAGGGAAGTGCAGACAACCCACGTTTGAAAGGTGGGAATGAACAGCTGGGTAGCTGAAGTTGGGAGCATCACCTGCCAGCTTTGCTACCTCTCCCCCAGGACTAGTTCTTTTCTATGTAGCTCTGAAATCCATGCCTGAATGCAAGTTTCCCTGAAATGGGCCAAGCCCAGGTCAGATGACCGCCACCCCTCATGAGCAGCACCCTACTTCTAGGAGGTATTTTCCTTTTTTTTCTTTTTTTTAAGATTTTATTCATTTATTCATGAGAGACAGAGGCAGAGACACAGGCAGAGGGAGAAGCAGGCCCCATGCAGGGAGCCCGACGTGGAACTCAACCTCAGGTCTCCAGGATCACGCCCTGGGCTGAAGGCGATGCTAAACCTCTGAGCCACCTGGGCTGCCCCGAGGAGGTATTTTCCTAATGAACAGGCATACAAGTTCATTTTAGTACCCATCATACTTGGTTCATCCTACAATAAGGGTATTGTAACAGCATCCCTTTGATCTTATATTAACTAGAAAGAGTTGAAAGATACTCTGCTGCAAAGACAGAAATTCTCTCCCCAGAGACTAAACCATTCAATCCCACCAAGTCATTCAACCATTTGACAGGAGCCTTGCCCTGAAGAGCATAAACTCCCCGGCATCTCAACAGTTCTGTCTCCCCCTCAGGCCCACTCCACCTCTAGAACCCTTCAGCTTCCTCACCACATGTCTGCTTTTCCTTGGGGTCTGGTGTTACTGACTTCCGGCGTTTTCGTTGGCTCCCAAGTGTGGCTCTCCCTCGAGCTGGCCGCTTGCTACACATCTGAGGGCCCGAAGTGGGGCAGCACACCACAGGATAGTGGGGAGGCACTGACCAGAGGGTAAAAGGGGAAAAAAACATAGGGTAAAAGCAGAAACACAAACCCTTCCCTTGGAATGAGAAAGGACTCATTTAGACTTAGCACTAAAAGCTTTATCAATAACCTGAAAAGAGGATAAAACAAGGGGACAATTACAGGACCCAGGTGAAGCATTAACACCTCGCCTGATTTTTATGGGATATTGGGGGGGGGGGGCGGCAGTGAGAGATACAGTGTCCTTTCATTCAGGCTGGCAAAGCTGGGAAAATGATGGGTTTGGTGTCTATTTTTTTAAGCATTATCTATTTATTTGAGAGGAAAACAAGTATATGCATAGGGAGGAAGGAGAGAGAAAATCTCCAGCAGACTCCCCTTGGAGCAAGGAGCCCAACCCAGGGCTCAATCCCATGACCCCAAGATCATGACCTGAGCTGAAATCGAGAAACGCAACTGACTGAGCCACCCAGGTGCACCCCCCAACGCCTTTTAAAGATTTATTAGAGAGAGAGAAGGGAGAGAGACCACATGCAGGAGCACATGAGAGTGGGGCGGGGGCAGAGGGAGAGAGAATCCCAAGCAGACTCTATGCTGAGCACAGAGCTCAATGCAGGGCTCAACCTCAGGACCCTGAGACCACACCCTGAGGCAAAACCAAGAGTCAGACACTCAACCGACTCTTGGCACACCCGCGCTCCCTTTTTTTTTTAAAAGTCAACTCTATGCCCAACACGGGGCTCAAACTCACAACCCTGAGATCAAGAGCCGCATACTCCAGCGACTAAGCCAGCCAGGTGCCCCTGATATTTTCTCTTGATTACGAACATTAGGTGGAATTAGTATCTTCTTACCTGTTTTGGGGGGTTGTGGAGGCCTCGGTTCTGGATCGCTGAGGGCTCTGGGGGTCACATAGCGAATTGACGTCTCCTCCAGATACTTGTCTACAAGATCAGGGCACACTATAGGAGGGGAGGGAGTCATTCAGGAAAAGATACTCTCCTCCCTTCTAATCCAACCCTCCAATAGGCCTCCTAACTTGTCCTAGGTAGCCCCTAGGGTCAACGCCTCCTCCCACTTGGACTCCTATGTGCTGCTCAATCCTGGCCTCCCACAACTCTTCCCGGATTCCAGTGTCCCCAGCCCCCAATGCACCCTCACCAGCCCGCCTCCTCTTGAGGGTGACGTAGGGCAGCAGGTCATGACGAGTGATGATGCGCAGCAGCTGCAGCACCTGGCGAAAGTTACTCTCATCACAGCGGCCCTGGCGCTCCAACGCCAATAAGAAGTCACGTCCATTTCGGATGAGGCCACGCTCGTGGTCATCAATGACGTCGACAAAAAGGAAAGAAAGAACGCGCACATCCCTGTGTGTCAGGTGGGTGCCCACGATGTCAAACATGCGGTGCAGGCTGTACAGCCCGTGCTCCTGCTCACCATGCTCTTCTGGCCACACCTGGCTTGCCCGCCGCTTTAGGCCCGCCATGCTGGGGGCTCAGGTGCGCAATGCCTTCCAGAATCCCTGCTCAGCAGCTGCAATCCCCACTATACTGTAAGGGGCAAGGAAAGAACCTATGAGCTACTCAACGGCAATCTCAACCTGGTCTCAATCACTCTTCTATCTCCAGTGCCTGACAGTGCCTGGTACAGAATTGTGCTTAGTGTTTATTAACTTTTAAAAAGTGTTCATTGAAAAATAAAGCCTACAGTGCTCCACATCCAACAGATGTTGTCCTAAGTCCAGACCCTACTAGAGAAATACACTTTCCTTTTTTTTTTTTTTTTATTTATGATAGTCACAGAGAGAGAGAGAGGCAGAGACACAGGCAGAGGGAGAAGCAGGCTCCATGCACCGGGAGCCCGATGTGGGATTCGATCCCGGGTCTCCAGGATCGCGCCCTGGGCCAAAGGCAGGCGCCAAACCGCTGCGCCACCCAGGGATCCCCGAGAAATGCACTTTCCCTAAGTGAGAATGTTCTATGCAATTTCAGTGCTGCATACTGGGCAGGAGGTGCTGTTAGAGATTACCTCGATTGTTCCCCTGACCCCAAAATACTGCTTCTGGTCCCCTGTGCTCTCCCTCCCACCTCCCCAACCAGCTCACCTCTTAAATGTAGGCAAAACTGAGAAGTAGAGAATTCATTCTTAACTAACACAGAAGCTACAACAGATGAACTTACAGACGGTATGGAAACTGAACATCTTTAGGGTGAGAACTAGTTTCAGTGCTGCCTGTGACACTACCAAGCCAGGTAGCTGTGGGCCTTAAGCGAGTTACCTCACAACAAAGCCTCACTGCCCCCCCCCCCATATACAAAACACCAATGAAAGAAACTACTCTTCAGACATGTTAAGGATCCAATTAGAAACTATGTGCGAGATTGTTGTGTCAACAGTCATGAAAGATTTCAAAGAGATTAGCATCCTTGACCAACCCAGACCAACCCCCCACAATCCTATCCTCATTTTTCCTACAATCCATCCAAGTTCAGAAGCATAACTGCAAAGGTTAATAATACTAACCGAAACTCCCGGATTTAAATTATCAAACGTTACTAAACCCCTACATTGAGCATTCTCTTCCTCCTCTGGCAGAAGTACCCCCTTGATGTTCACATGCCATTTGGATACACCCTCTTCTTTCATCATGGTTATTTGTCCATCCCTCCACAACGATTGACAGCAGCCTAATGTTCATTCTATAATTTGGCATTTGATTCCTATAGTTCCCCCATCAAGCTGGGTAACATTAATGACCAGCCAGTAACCAAGCCTCAAGTCCATGGGCTTCCATGTCCATGCTGGTCAGATAGTGCTGGCCAATACTACCCAACCCCTGACCACGGCTCCAACGTCGTGATTCATTATAAAGTCCTGCCAAAGCTACTTCTAAACGTTTTCAATCTCCTCACCTTTTTGCTGCCACCACCCCAGTTCAGGTCCCAATAATCTCTCACCTGGACTATAGTAACACCCTCTGTAGGGATTCTCCTTATCACCAATCTTAACCCACCTAAGTCCATTCCCCCCATTCAGCTGAACGAGCTACCTACAATGCACAACTGACCTCATCACTCTTCCGCTTAAGATCTACCTACATCCCCCTCCTTACCTGTAAGAACACTGCAAACTTCTTACACAACACACCAAACGTTCTGAGACAGGCCCTGCCTACCTTTCCAACCTCAGAACCCACTTTTTATTTTCCACCATCAATTTGAGTATAGCTCACATAGAGCAGGCAGTTCCTTTCTCTTTCTCCGGGCTACTCCTTTTGCCTGAGTGCTCCTCTCCCTTCTCTGTCCCAAATGTGCCCCATCAGCACCCTTTTTCAGATGGCTAACTCCTACTCATCCTTTAAAAGTCAACTCAGATACCATCTTCAAATTCATGCTCCACACCTCCGTGCTGGGATAAGTAGTCCTCTTTCCTCTTCTGTGCTCCTACAGAACATCATGCATATTTCCTTTAAACTCCTTATCATAGTGTACTAAAATTATCTGTGTATTTATTATCCTATTAGATCTTAAGCAACTCCTGTAGACGGACTAAGTCATATTCATCTTTATATCTCCAGTGCCCAGCAATGGAGAAAGCCTGGCACATAGTACTCATAACTTACTGAACTTAGTATCCAGGACATCATCACAAGCCATACTCATACAAGTCCACTGAGAGGACTTCATTAAAAACAGATACAACCTAACTATATGCATACATTCTAGCTAGCCGCAGCCTCCCCTACGCTATGCAGAAATACCCATCCCACAGTACCCTACTCAGCAATAAGATAGGTTGTCCTGTTTATTTTATACACCAAGAAACTAAGGCTATGTTAAAGAATAAAATGATAAGCTGCTTCAAAAGAGTCAAGCTGATGGGCTCTCAGAAAATGAGAGCAAGTAGGACCTGGTCCCCCCTCTTCCTCAACAATCCTAAACCAGAAGCAGACTCCTTCCCTTAAGAAAAGGGCGGGTCCACCCTGGAATCACTTAGCTCCATATCATGGGTTCTCATATGTGGATAAGAAATATAGCTTGCATCCACTTAGGACAGCCCAGATGCCACACCCCCTCCCACTCCAGCATGGGAAACAGCTGGGAAAATAGCTACCCAATGACAGGCTGGTTTTCTCTGCCTCTTCCTCTCATTTCACCTGTTGTAGGTACAAATGGGGGTGGGGGGCAGGGGTAGTGGGGGGAACTAACGGAAAGTAACTCCTTGTTCATACCAAGCAACATGAGAAAACTGAGCCTCCTTAGACTTCTCCTTGTTCCCTATCCCACCTGTTCCTTTTGGCCAGCTGTTGATTATGAGGATCCCAGAAAAAGCAGATGGGCAGGTTTCACATTCAACCAAACCAAAGAGCAGGTTGCTAGAGAGCTCCCGAATCTATGTGTCCTGATTATAAAGCCCCGGAAATGAAAGAATATTGTCCCCCGCATACCTTCCCACTGGAAAATGAAGCAGAATACAGGAAAGGACTAGGGTCCTAACCTATGTATCAATGGATGCAATTCTATAATAGGCCTCAGTCCTCTGAGGGTTAACTCCCCAGATATGAGAGAAAAAAACAGCCACCTTTAAGTCCTAGATCCCACACTAGATCATTCAAAGTGCCAGGAATTATCATAGCTTCTAGGTCAGTGGTTCTCAACCAGGGAGGATGCTTCCACCCCCAAGGGACACCTGGCAATGTCTGGAGACATTTTAGACTATTATGACTGGAGGGAGCAAGGGCCGTGCTACTGGCATGCAGTGAGTAGAGGCCACGGATGCTTCTAAACATCTTCTAAAGCACAAGTCTAAAGCACAACAAAGAATCATGCAGCCCAGAATGTCAATAATGCAGGGTGCCCGGCTGGCTCAGTCGGTTAAGCGTTTGCCTTTGGCTCAGGTCACGCTACAGGGTCCTGGGATCGAGCCCCACATCAGTCTCCCTGTTCAGCGGGGAGCCTGCTTCTCCTTCTCCCTCTGCTCCTCCCCACTCTTGTCTGCGCTAGCACGCACTCTCTCTCAAATAAATAAATAAAACCTTTTTAAAAAAACTCCAGTAATGCTGAGTCTGAGAAACCCTATTGTAGATGGATCATGACGAAGGGTCAAAAGAATCGAGACAGCATGTCACTTTCTACCTACATCTAGAGAAGGAAGCCACTGGGTCCTTCCGACCCAAACCCATCAAACAATGTTCCAGAAGAAAAGCCAGTCAGACATAGACTTACTTCACTCCTAAGTTCACCGAGCACTAAAGAGTTCCATCCCACTCCAACCCTGGCTTCTCTATCACCTGCTGTTGCCATTCAGGTGAGCAGTAAGTGGTGGGACTACCCTCTCCTCCGCCCCATCCTGGGAGGTCCAGTGTGACCCAGTTCAATCTGGATCTCTGTAAAGATAAGAGAAATGCCATCCCCTGCAAAACAAACAAAAAGGATCCTGCACTTAACCCTCACAGCCAACTTTAAAGTCCTGAAACTAAACCAGTTGCAGACCCTTCCTTGTTTGACTGCTGATGAGACAGTCCGCTTACTCAATGAAGCAAAATGTAGAAGTCTAAGTTTCCCAAGGCCATGTCCTTGAGAGAAATGTTGGGAGGCTGACACGCAGGCTAATAGGCAACCCCCCACCCACTTACTTATCATCTAGGACGGTGGGTTCACTCACTTAGCAATATAGATGGGGTTCCAAGAATCTATCTACCTTTAGCATTAAAAGAACACAGCCAACCTCCTCTAAAACCAAAATATATTCAGCTTTCTGTGGCAGTGAAGCTTGGGGACGCAGCTTAAAATATACAGAGATCCTAGATGAAAGATAATCAGAGTAGTAAGGAGAACATACCCGCTCTAAACAGATTAAAAAGAACTCCTGAGTCCTGAAATATTGCCAGACACCAAGAGACAAACAAAACAGTCCAGTCAAAAAGAGTCCTGATCCTGTTGCCTGGTTTGGGTCCATTTGAGAACCTAACAAGAGCAACCCCCACCCACCCCATTACAGTTTCCCAAGAATAATTTCTCCCCCTGAGAATAATTCTTTATTCCAAGGAACTGCTGCATTTCCTGGAGTTGTTTTTTGTTTGTTTTCTTTCTTTAGGGAGGTCCAAACCAGCCAAGTGCCAACAGACAGACTAGAAGTATCTACAGAACTGCCTACCAGGTTTCTACTTCCAAGCAAAGTCTAGTCTCATCCCAACCACAGGAAAGACATTTGTATTTTTGGGGGTACTCGACTCTCTCAGAAGCCCATAAAGTCCTGTGTAAGAAATACAAAAAGAAGGGCGCCTGGGTGGCTCAATCAGTTAAGTTGTCTGCCTTTGACTCATGTCATGATCTCAGGGCCCTGGGATCCAGCCCCTCAGTTGGGCTCCCTGCTCACAGGGAAACTGCTTCTCCCCTCCTCCTTGCTTGTGCTCTCTCTCGCTATCTCTCTAATAATTAAAATCTTAAAAAAAAAAAAAAAAAAAAGAATGATTTCTTGAAGACCAAAGTATAGTTTCATCCCAACAGGGATAACATCTATATTTTCACAAAACCAGAAGTATTTGACTCTCTCCAAAGCCCTTAGGGAGGAAAGTCATGTGGAAGAATTAAAAAAAAAAAAAAAAAGTGATGTCGTGAAACTTGTAATGAAAAAGACAAGGAAAAGCTTCAAGACTGAGAGAACGTAAAGAGCTTTCTTGCTGGTGGGACAGGAAAAATGTAATCAAATATCTGGAAGTCAGAATTATATGTTTTCCAAAGGAACATTCTAGGATCCCTGAACAACTAGAAGAAAGAGTAAGCTAGGGGAAAAGCCTTCCCATGGAAGGAACCTCAGGCCCGCCAAGGGTAACATTAGAAGTTGTACTAGAGTACAATGTTCCGAATGTTAAACAATGTTTCTCTCGGAGCTGACCAAGACGACTACATAATAACAAACCAAAGCTGAGGGCTTGCCCCAAAACACCTAATTTGGGCTCTCCTTTCCTTCCTCCCAATCTCCAGTTACCCAGGAAGACAGTGAGGGCAATAGGCTTTATTCACTCAGCTGGGTAGGTGAAAACTCATTTTCCCTGGCGTCTAACCCACGACTGGGCTCAACCCCAACACGTTTCTCAGGCCATTCCCATTCCCTTCCATTGTTCAAGAACAATAAAAAAAAAAAAAAAAGTTCCAGACTTACCTTTGCAAGAAACTTAACTTCCCAGGTCTCTTCCTAGCACAAGTTGGAAGCCAGCAGCAAAACAAAAACAAATTGGGGGAAGGGGGAGGAGGGGAAGAGTCAATTTTCAAGCTTTATTTTGCAACAGCAAAGGCCCAAAAGAGTTAGTCTCAATTACAAAACTACAGACACACCTAAAGCCATTTTGATTAAAATGATCCACTCCGAGCTACCAAGCAGAGTCCCCAGGTTTCCCTCCTCTCCTACTGACCAATTCACAGAACAATCCCAACTCCCAAGGACCTCCAGCCTTGATGGCTCAAGGCAACTTGCCGGATATTCAACAACAACTTGCGGGGTGGGGGGAAAACCCAATTATCCCCTGAAACCTTCTCACCTGACTCCTCAATACCTTCGGAGACCCATTTCGTTAGGACGTTAACACTGACTTCCCACTTTAGGAAGAACTGGGGGTGGGGGAATGGTTACCCCCGAACAAGGCACTTCCCATCAGTTCACTCTTCAGACCAGAGCTATCCTCCCAGTTCTGTCTTCCGCCCTGCCCCTTAGCGCAGAGTGGGAACGACGCACCCACCGGGGCGCATCCCCTCCAACATCTCCGTCCCACCGGGGTGGGGGGGGGGAGTCCCGACCCCTCCCTCGCAGCCCTTACGCGGCACCGGGAAGGTCTGGGAACTGAAGCGCTCACTTAATTATCCAGGCTGCCTGGGTGCCCTCCTGCTTTGCGCTCCCCTTCCCGGACCTCCGGGCACGCACACCCCACCTGGGCACACCGGGGTCCGACTCGGCACGGTCGCCCCACGTCCCACACTGCTAATCGCTAGGCAAGCGAGGGAAGTCCTTTCCCTCCTTCTACACTTCGGCGGCGGTGACACTGGCTTCCCCGGCTCCCCTTCTTTCCGGCGACCGAGGGAAACCAGGGAGCGGGGTGAGCCGGGGGCGCCTCTGGAAAGCGAATCCAGGTGAACCCTCACCCTCACCCTCACCCCACGCTCTAAGCCGCCCGCTCCTGCCCTGCCCACCCCGTTGGAGGCTGGAGGCCTGGCGATCAGGGCTGGCGGCGAGGGATGCTGCCTCCCAACTCCGCTCCGTCTGCCTTCCCGGGGAGCGGGGGGCAGGGACGGCCCCAGCCTGCGCGCCCCGGGCGGCCGCGCGGTCCTCCCCCCAGCCCGCTCCCCGTCCTCCCAAACTTTCCTCCGGGTCTCTCACTTTCCCCATTACCCGTCACGCCGCCGAGCTCTCCTGCTCCACCCCAGGGCTCCCCTAGGCCCTTCCCCCTCCCACCTCCAATTCGGCACTTCCCAAACCCCCCCCCCCGAACGTCGGAAGTCTCTCCTCCCCCTCCCCGCGTGCCCCCGCCCCCCGCGCGCCGCGCCCCCGCGCCCCGCGCCCGCCGCCCTCGCCCCTGCGGGCTTGCAGCCCCGCGCCCACCTCGGCGGCGCCGGCACCCCCGGCCCGGCCCTCGTTGCCGCCCCTCCCCGCGCCCGCCCGCCCGCCTCGCCCCTGCCGCTCCCGCAGTTGCCACCTCCCCCGCACGCCCCCTCGGCCGCTCCCCTCCCCCACCTCGCAGCGTCCCGTCACCTCCCTCTCTCGAGGTTCTCGCGCTGGACGTCGCCGCCGCCTCCCCCTCCACTTTCCTTCCCCGAGCCCTCCGCGGCCCCGCCCGGCCCCGCCCCGTCCCGCTCGGCTCCCCCTCCCCACTCCGCCGCCCCGCCGCCTCACTCTCGGCTCAGGCTCGGCGCCGCCATGTTGGATCCATCCGCGCCGCCCTCCCGGCCCGTCGCGCGCCGCCGCATCCGGGCTCCGGCCGCCGCCGCCGCCGCCGCCGCCGCGGGCGTGGGGGAGGGGGCGGCCTCGTCCTGAGCAGCGCCGCCCGGAACCTGGCCGGTTAGCGGCGGCTTCGAGGCCATAGGGAGGCATGAGCCGGGGTGGCCATGCTGGGTGAGGGCAGCCTGGCAGCGGCATGAGCCGGGGCGTGGATAGCTTCACTTGGGGACGCGACGCTAGAGGCTGGCAGCCATCTTGCTTTGGGGCAAGCGGGCGCCGCCGTTTCTTGGCGGCGGTGGCGGCTCGGGGGCCGCGGGGGGGAGGGAGTGAGGGTGGCGGTCTCGGGTGCGGGAGCACTGGGGGCGCCGGAGCTGGCTGCCGTCGGCTTCGACACCGTAGGAAAGACTGACACTAGCGGCCATGACTCATGAGGGCGGAATATTGCCAGGGTCACACCGCCCGGCGAACTCCGGGGAAGGTTCACTGAGGTCGGGTTTTGACCTTTGCCCCGAGCTTCCGGTCAACCCGGACGTGCCGTAAACCGCGGTCGGGGCGGAAAGCGCTGCCCGGGGGCCCTTCGGCTTTCGTCCTGGGAGCACCCGCTTCCCGAAGGGAGCGTCGCCGGAGCCGAGTCGGGGGCGTCGGGGACGTTCTGGAGCTGCCGGCGGCCCGTGGCGTAGAGGAGAGGCCGCGAGCGGGGCCCGTGGGAACGCCAGGCCCTGTGAGTTAGCCGGTTTGACCCGAGGGGCAACGAGTAGGCTTCCGAGGGCCCAGGCGGAGAGGTCGGCAGGTGTACCTGGGATTTTTGAAAGATCGCTGGTCGCGGGGGGGTGGGGTGGAGGAGGGGGGCGGGGGGGGCACGCGGGTCGAGGCCGGGAGATCCGGGGGGACGCTCCTCTCCAGGCGGGACCCGGCTGCGGCTGGGAGAAAGCGGCGCGGAAGTGGGGAGGAGGCGCAGGGGGCCCCCCAGCGTGCTGCCCGGGGCGACCTGGAAAGCGTTGCCGTGTCCTCTCGTGTTTTGCGGGGACAGGAGGAGCTTGCTGCCTGGGCGCTGGCCGAGAGGCGGCCGAGTGCTGGGGGCGGTGCGCTGGGCCCCCAGCGTGGAGCCGTGCGCGCGCGTGGCCCCAGCGGCCGGAGCCCTGGACGCGGGGAAGACGCCCGAGAACTAGGGGAGCGCCTGGAGCTCGAGACGGAGGCAGAGGGCGGCCCAAGGGGCCCCGAGAAGGGACATCCCGGAGCCGAGCGTCCGTGAAACTGGTCCAGGCGTTAAAGGTAACCGCTTAGGGTTGAAGGGGACTGAGACGTATCGCAGCAAGCCGTTTGGTAACTCTGGAGAAACTTGTTTCGGAGTCGCGGCAGGAGGGAGACCGGAGTGGGGGAGGGACGGTGCATAAACGCCGTTTTCTCACGGTGTTGCCCGTGGAAAAGAGGCTGGCTGTGGGGTGGAGCGTGGGGCAGGGCTCCAAAGAAAGGGAAGGACTTTGCGGTGCTGTGGGACAGCCAGGCCTCCCGCACCGGTGGCAGTGGGACACACGGATTTAAATGTAGGAGAATTGGGGGTCCCTCGGGGGCCGAGCTGTTGAGCATCTGCCTTCGGCCCAGGGCGTGACTCTGGGGTCCCGGAATCGAGTCCCGCGTCGGGCTCCCCGCGGGGAACCTGCTTCTCCCTCTGCCTGTCTCTGCCTCTCTCCGTGTGTCTCTGGTGAGTAAATAAATAAAATCTTAAAAAAAAAATCTGTATAAATAAATAAATGTAGGAGAATTAAAATGAAATGGGAATTTATAATGGAAAAAGAAAAAGCATGAGTGGGAGAATACGTGTGGCACATTTACACAGGCATTTAAAAATTAACCATGGGGGCACGGGGATGGCTCAGCCCTTAAGCATCTGCTGTCTGTTCAGCTCAGACCTTGGGATCAAGCCTGGCGTGCGGCTCTGCACCCGGCTGGAAGTATCCCTCTGCCCTGTACCCCTAGTGCCGCCACCCCCATCCACGTTGCCCCATGCTCTCTCAAATATATAAAAATTTTAAAAAATCAACCATGAAAAATGGGCCTGAGGATGAAATTTATACATTTCTATTTTACATCCGTCTTTACCATGTGAATTTCTTTTACTATATGCATATATTACTTTTTTAGAAAACTAGTTTTTTTAAAACTCCAGTGATGTGGGGCACCGGGGGTGGGGGGCCTCAGTGGTGGAGCATCTCCCTTTGGCTCAGCTTGTGATCCCCGGGGTCCTGGGATCTAATCCTGCACATCAGGCTCCCTGCATGGAGCCTGCTTCTCCCTCTGCCTGTGTCTCTGTCTCTCTCCGTGTGTCTCTCATGAATAAATAAAATATTAAAAAAATAAATAAGGGGGATCCCTGGGTTGCTCAGCGGTTTAGCGCCTGCCTTTGGCCCCGGGGCACGATCCTGGAGGCCCCAGGATTGAGTCCCACGTCGGGCTACCGGCATGGAGCCTGCTTCTCCCTCCTCCTGTGTTTCTGCCTCTCTCTCTCTCTCTCTCTCTCTCTCTCTCTGTCTATCATAAATAAATCTTTTTTAAAAAAATAAATAAATAAAAATTAAAAAATAAATAAGTAAAATTCCAGTGATGGATAGGCCAGAAATTCTGAATCATGAACATTTCGGTGGCAGCTAAAGCCATAGATTTGGATAAACTCCAGAGAATAGCAGAGAGCTAAGAAGAGTGCTGGTGGGGGGAGGGTGATATTACAGCATTTACAGTACCTGTGGAAAGAAGAGCCCTTGGAGAATCTGAAAAGGAACAGCCAATGAGAAAGAATAAAAATTAGGCGGTGATTCTTCTAGCATCTGAAGGAAGAGAGTTTCAGGAGGATCAGAGTTGTTAAGAGTGTCAGATGTTCCCAGAAAGGCAGCTAACAAGAAAGGTACTTTGAGCTCCAGGCCTAGTTTTCCTAGAAGCTTGGCATAGAGGTCAAATCCAGATCATGAACCTTCCCCTCATGTACCACGTAGAATTTGATCCCTGTGCTGATCCACCCTTAGGCATCACGGCCGCCAGTCCCAGTCTTTCAAGGGGCCTTGAAGGCAGGTCTGGTGCCACCGGTGTTTCCACACTGGGCAGTGCTGCCTCTCCTGTTGCTTACTATGGCCATGAAGCTGCAATCAACAAAAACCTGTGTGGGAGCGCCTGGCTGGCTCAGTGGGTAGAGCATGCAACTCGATCTACGGGTTGTGAGTTCAAGCCCCACACTGGGTATAAAGATTACTTTAAAAAGTAAGTAAAAGGGCAGCCCGGGTGGCTCAGTGGTTTAGCATCTGCCTTCCACTCAGGTCATAATCCTGGGGTCCTGGCATCAGGCTCCCCCTAGGAAGCCTGCTTCTCCCCCCTGCCTATGTCTCTGCCTCTCTGTGTCTCTCATAAATAAATCTTTTTTAAAAAGTAAGTAAAAAATAAAGTTGGAAGTGGATTATCTCTTTTAAAAAAAGTATCTAAAAAGGAAGAAAGAAAAAAACCTGTGTTGCAAGAAATGATGAAAATAAGGAATTGAAAGTAACAGTATAAGTTGGAGTTGAGAAGAGCAAGCAGTAACTAGGGAAAAAATAAATAAACTCATAAAAAAAAGAAGTAAGTAGGAGTCACATGGATCTTCCTAAAACCACGCAGGATGTGAGGAAGAGCTGGTTGAGAGAGGTTACTGAACAGGTGCTGATGTCAACAACCAAGAAGGCAAAAGGGCAGTAGAGCAGTGGCATAAGCCTCAAGGAGAAGCAAGTTTTTGCAAGAAAATGAGAGCACAATCGTCTGAAGATGAGCAGCTTTTGCTTTCGAAGGTTGCAGGGAAGAGGGTTCCATTAGAAAAAGTCAAATTTTCTACCCCACTCATTCCGTCCCTGAACCCACGGGAACTCTTCCTTTTTTTTTTTTTTTTTTTTTTTTTTATTCATGATAGAGAGGCAGGAGACAGGCAGAAGGAGAAGCAGGCTCCATGCAGGGAGCCCGATGCGGGACTGGAACCCAGGACTCCAGGATCATGCCCTGGGCCAAAGGCAGGCGCTAAACCGCTGAGCCACCCAGGGATTCTCGGAACTCTTCCTTTGTACAGAGCTTCTTGTACGGTCTCATTTTCTTCACAGGATGCTCCCTAGCTTTTCTTGGAGGAAAACTCATCAGGACAGAGGTAGCTGTGATCTATGGAGGGGGGATGTCCCCCGACCCACAAAGTCCACAAAAGAGACAGACACAGGTGCTACAAATATAATCATTTTCTTTCCCTATTCTATTCTGGAGTGGCTTGCCCTTCTTGCCATTAAAGTAGTAATCTCTACACGAGCCCACCTATCCTTTCCAAACTTAAGCCCAACTGCATTAAGAGGATCAGAGAGGAGAGCTGGTGCTGAGGACTGCACACTCTAGTAGCAGGTATCTGCTGTCCTGCAACCTTCTGGGGGGGGGGGGGATGGGGGGACAGATTGCTCTTCACTCAGAATGGAAACCTAAAGGAAGGCTGGGGCTTGTCTTCAACTTAACAACTACGTTTTGCAGATTCCAGACATGAGACCAACTGCCTGGCCAGCTGTTCCTAAGTTAGTCAATCCATTCGAGGCTGCATTTGTAGGAACGTTGTGTTCAGGGAGCCTTTAAAGTTCACTCCTTCAGCTAGAAGCCCTGAGATTTCACAGGTGTCGAAGAGATCATTATACCAGTTCAGAGCTGAGATTTCCTGGGGTGAAACATAAATACTGGCTAAACCATAGGGCCGTGTAGAGATGGGCGCTCAGCCCATCACAGAAAAAAAATATGTTTTTTTACAATTTTGTTTATTCATGAGAGGCAGAGACACAGGCAGAGGGAGAAGCCGGCTCCCTGCAGGGAGCCTGATGGGGGGACTGGAGTCCCAGGACCTCAGAGTCCCGCCCTGAGCCACAGGCCTATGCTCCACCACTGACCCACCCGGGGGCCAGAAAAAAATATTTCATACACATTAAGGCCTTTTGTTAGCCATAGCTAAACAATACCCCCCCCCAACACCGTCTCTCTACAGTGAAAGCAAAAACTTTCTCTCTCACCTTATGTTCTTTTTCTACCCTCTCCCTTGCTTCAGCTAGAAACTGCAGCCTCTGCACAAGGCTCTCAGTGCTCTTAAGTCCTCTGCCCTTGGCCCCCTTCCTGTACATCAGCTCCTATCCCTTCCTTGAGGCTTCAGCCGAGAAAACGTCCCCCCAACTTTCAAATATTGGCCCCTTTGGCTTGACCCTGATTCCCCTCCTTTTCTGCTTCTCAAGACTATTCCCACAGTTATTGCTTCCTTCAGTGGGATCTTTAACCTAACATCCCTCAGCCACCTTATACATGCTCCCATTTCTACTATGTCCTGCCCTATAGTTCTTTTTTTCCCCCAAAGATTTTTTTTTATTTATTTGACAGTGCATAGGAAGGGGAAGCAGCAGAGGGAGAGGGAGAGGGAGAAGCAGACTCCCCACCCAGCAGAGAGCCTGACACGGGGCTCCATCCCAGGACCCCAGGATCATGACCTGAGCCGAAGGCAGATGCTTAACCCACTGAGGGACCCAGGCGCCCTAGAGTTCTTAACTCACTAATTGTCAGTGGTTAGAAAAGCATTTTTTCTGAACTTAGAAAATTTTCTCCCTTTGTCACTTCTGTTGATGGGTCCAATTTTTTCCCTTTGGATCAACACAGCATAGCTGTGGAGCAGCCCTTCAGGTAGCTACCATGTTTCCACAAACATTTTTTTTCCAAGTCAGTGATCGTAGCAATTCAAGGAATAGTAGATATTTTTTTTCCAAGTCAGTGATCGTAGCAATTCAAGGAATAGTAGATATCGTATCTTTGTGGATCTGAATACTCTGTTAGGGCTGCTTGTCCCGACCATGCTGTTCCCCAGCTCTGCCAAAATTAAAATCTTTTCAAATCAGACCTTCCCTTAAAGAAGCCTGTACACTGTTGACAACCCACGGTGGCAAGTATCCTCTTGACTCTTCCAGGGCCACTCTGAACCTGTGTCCCTGTCCCCTTTACTCTTGAACTTTATCCTACAGCAACTTCCTGACCTGACCGTTCTCTCTAGTTCTTGGGTCCCCATTAACTGCAAGGTGTTGCTGTTATTTTCACCCAGGCATCTTACGAGCTCCGAACTGCATCTGAGCTTCAAACCTAATTATAAGCCCTTAGCTAGAATTCCAATGTCTCCTGACTCCTGAAGAGAAGAGGAAGGACCACAATCAGTCACTGAATCCTAATGATCTACCTAAAAACCTCCTTAACCCTTGCATGTCTCCAGACGGAGACTCCTGTGCTTTGGGCCTCTTCCCTCAAGCCCTGTGGTGTCCATGCCTGCTGCTTGTTCTCTGCCCTCCCCCTTGATCTGTGTCCATCCAAGCCCCTGCCCCGAGTCCTTCTACCCTTACTGTCCTGGCTTCTTCTCCCTGCTTTGTTTTTTCCATTCCCCTGCTCTGACTTTCACCAATAGGACTTTGGGCAAGCTCCTTAATTTCTCTGAGCTTCTTTTCTTATCTGTAAAAGGCAAGTATAATACCACCCCATAGGTCATTGTTTTAATGATTATATTAAATTAACATATGAAGCATTAGCATAGGGCCGGCCCATTGTAAGTGCTCTATAAATGTTACGTAATATTTATGTATTGTACTTTTCGCCAGGTTTCAGAAATTCCTGAGGTTCTTTATCAGTGCTCTCTGCTGCCCCCGTGGGATGACTTTTTCTGAGTCATTGGGTATCCTATAGGCCCTGCCCCAAAACAGCACTGTTATACCAGCCTCACCAGCTACTTAGAGAATCAGTTCTTTGGTTGGTTGGTTGTTCAATCAAATGAAAATGCTTCTATATTCCAGCCCATTCTCTATCTTTTTTAAAAGCATGTGTCAGGAAACCTATGTGTTTCTGAAATCAAGGCATACTGCCTATGACATTCTCCTAGTTTTTTCATCTAGTAACACTAGGGGGACACCTGAGTGGTTCAGTGCGTTAAGCATCTGCCTTCTGCTCAGGTCATGATCTCAGGGTCCTGGGATTGGGCCCTGCATTGGGTTCCCGGCTCAGCAGGGAGTCTGCTGCTTCCTATTCCACCTCCATCCCCACCCCTGGCCCCACTTGTCCTCTCTCTCATGCTCTCTCAAATAAATAAATAATTTTAAAAAGTGAGAGAAAGAGAGATTTGGGGTACCTGGGTGACTCAGTTGGTTAAGCATCCAACTCTTGGTTTTGGCTCAGGTTATGATCTCATGGGTTGTGAGATCGAGCCCTGCAGTGGGCTTCTTGCTCAGTGGGAGTCTGCTTGAAAGAGTCTTTCCCTCTTCCCTTCCCCCCAGTCACGTGCTCTTTCTCTCTCTAAAAATAAATTTTACTTATTTTAAAGATTTTATTCATGAGACAGAGAGATAGAGAGAGAGAGGCAGAGACACAGGCAGAGGGAAAAGCAGGGTCCTCGAAGGGAGCCCGATGTAGGACTCAATCCTGGACCCTGGTATCACACCCTGAGCCAAAGGCAGACACTGAACCACCTAGGCATCCCTCTAAAAATAAAATTTAAAAATAAATTGTTTTTAAAAAATATGGTAACAGGGCAGCCCTGATGGCTCAGCGGTTTAGCACCTGCCTTGGGCTTAGGGCGTGATCCAGGAGTCCTGGGATCAAGTTCTACGGTGGGCTCCCTGCAGGGAGCCTGCTTCTCTCTCTGCCTGTGTCTCTGCCTCTCTCTGTATGTGTCTCATGAATAAATAAATAAAATCTTTTTTAAAAAAAGAAAAAAATGAATGATCAGGGAAAGTCTTTGAGGAGGTAGCATAGAAACTGAGACTGAGGGATCCCTGGGTGGCGCAGCGGTTTGGCGCCTGCCTTTGGCCCAGGGCGCGATCCTGGAGACCCCGGATCGAATCCCATGTCGGGCTCCCGGTGCATGGAGCCTGCTTCTCCCTCTGCCTGTGTCTCTGCCTCTCTCTCTGTGTGTGTGTGACTATCATAAATAAATAAACATTTAAAAAAAAAAAAAGAAACTGAGACTGAAAGGCCATGAAGGGACCAGCCATCTTGCAGAGAATGGGGAGGAGTATCCTAGGCTTAGGACACCTGCAAAAGGACCAAGCAAAGGACCAACCCTGGGGCCTGGAGCACTGTAGGCATCTGGGGATCACAACCTTCTTTCTCATTGCTCATAAATCACTCTTTAATAACTCCTCTATAGTTTTACTAAGAATCAGTAATACGTTTTTTAGTTTCTAGAGTTCACCATCTAGAATTTCCCTCTTTGAAAATGTGGACATTTGGGGAACCTGGGTGGCTCAGCAGTTGAGCATCTGCCTTTGGCTGAGGTCGTGATCCCAGAGTCCTGGGATCGAATTCCACATCAGGCTCCCTATGGGAAGCCTGCTTCTCCCTCTGCTTGTGTCTCTGCCTCTCTCTGTGTGTCTCTCATGAATAAGTAAATAAAATCTTTTTTAAAAATGTGGACATTTGCTGTATTGTGAGTTCTTCAGATTATATAAAGGGGACACAATTTCACTTACATAATACTTCTGATTTCTAGAATACCATGTGTCCAGGGCCTGAACTCATTTAAAATGCTAAGAATCCTGTTACTATTTTAGTTTATCATTAATGAACTTATAACTAACAAAAAGAATTTTTCTCCTTATATTACATAATTTCTTCATGTTCCAAGCTATAGCTATTTATATACATTTCTATGTAGCTAAAATAATGTAATTAGCTTTATTGCAGATGATATCTTATTTACCTAGTAGACAACTCAGGAGAATCCATTTTAAAATTACTACAAATAATAGTAGAATTTAGTTAAGTGGGAGAAAAGTAACATGCAGAAATAAATATCCTTTATATATATAAACAGTAAGTTAAAGATGTAATTAAAGAAAAGACTCCATAGCAACAAAACAGATAAAATGCCTAGGAATAACCTTAACAGGAATATGCAGTATCTTTCTGAATTTTAAAATGCTACCCACGTAAAAGAAAACTTGAACAAATGGAAAGTAACATCATGTTCTTGAATATAGAAAATGAATATATAATGATGTCGCTTTCCCAAAGTTGTCTATAAATTTAATATGATCTGTAGAAAATTATTGGTAGGAGTTTTTAAAAGTAATTGACCAGTTAAAGGAATACACAGAATATTAAACTGTGCAGAGACCCACAAATTGAGAAAAAAACGGGGGGCGCCTGGGTGGCTCAGTGGTTGAGCATCTGCCTTTGGCTCAGGGCCTGACCCTGGGGTCCTGGGATGGAGTCCCGCATCGGGTACCCCATGGGAAGCCTGCTTCTTCTCCATCTGCCTGTGTCTCTGCCTATGTCTCTGTGTCTCTCATGAATAAATAAATAAAATCTTTAAAAATAATCTTGTTGTTGCTAAAGTAGTCTCTATGCCCAACGTGGGGCTTGAATTGATGATCCTGAAATCAAGGGCCCCTCACTCTATACACTGACTCAGCCAAGTACCCTGAGGATAAATAATCTAGACTTCTAAAATAATCTAGACTGTTGTGGTGACATACCAGAAGCTATAAGCAAAATGACTGATAAACTCAATCTTCTATGTGGAAATTCTCTACATGGTTAAAGATATTGTGAAGGGGCGTCAGCATGGTTCAGTTGATTAAACATCACCTGGGCTCTTGGTTTCAGCTCAGGTCATGATCTCAGAATCCTGGAATTGAGCCCCACATCATTGGGCACCCAGTTCAGTGGGGACTTTGCTTCTCCCTCTCATTCTGCACTTGTGCGTGCGCACGCTCTCTCTTATCTCTCAAATAAATACATTGTAAAAATCTTTAGAAAATACTGTGTAAAAAAAAAAAAAGAAAATACTGTGAAGAAAGTAAAGCCTGATAATCAACCGGGAAGATTATTTACAACTCATCACAAATGTCTAATTGATTTGATACAACAAACCCTCACACAAATCACTAAGTAAAAAATGAATGGTAATTCAAAAGAGGCAAAGGATTTAAGAATTTATAGAAAAGGAAAAAGGAAATAGAAATGAATGCCAGACTTCTGAGAAAACAATGGGGTAGGGGTTGCTTGCTCCTTCAGTCCGTAGAGCATGTGACCCTTGATCTCAATCAAGGTCCTGAGTTCAAGCCCCATGTTGGGCACAGAGTTTACATAAGTAAGTAAATTAATTAATTAAAAAAAAAAACTATCTTGAGATTCCACTTCAATCGAGGGATTGGCAAGAACAACTCTTGTTAATGATTTGTTTGGGAGGAAACCCTGTTATTTTTCATTTATTGCTAATGGTAATACAAATTGGCTTGATCTTTATGAAGGGCAATTTGACAATACTGAACACAATTTAAAATGCATTCTTCTTTTGAGGCAATAGTTCCATACCTGTGTATTTATTGCACAGGGACAAAATAATGGGTAGACAAGGCTATTAACTACAGAGCTGTTTGTAATAACAAAAAACGTAATCTAAAATACCTATGCCTGAGGGTCTGGTTGAACATGTTATGGTAGGTCCCTACAATGGGATGTATCTACTACAGAAGAAAAGGGGGAGGGATCCCTGGGTGGCTCAGCGGTTTGGCGCTTTGGCCCAGGGCATGATCCTGGAGTCCCGGGATCTAGTCCCGCATCGGGCTATGGAGCCTGCTTCTCCTTCCTCCTGTCTCTGCCTCTCTCTCTCTATCATAAATAAATAAATCTTAAAAAAAAAAAAGAGAAGGAAAAGAAAAATGAGATAGTGTTGCCTGCATTAATAGCAACAGCCTCCAAGATATATTATTCAGTGAGAAAAGCAAAGTGCAGAAACGTGTATAGTGTGCTACCATTTGTGTAAAAAGTTTTACATTTTAAGAGTGTGTGTGTGTGTAGATGCTGCTAAGTGTATGGAATCCATCTGGAAGGATATACAAAAAGACTGGCTGGAGGAGAGGGCCCCTGGAGACAGAACTCAGCAGCCGAGGAATGGCGTGAGAGGGACACTTAACATTTGACTCTGTCCTTTTGCCTTTTGAATTTTGAGCAGGTGCATGGATTAGCTATTCAAAAGCAAATATTTTAGGTGTGCCTGGGTGGCGCAGGTGGTTGAGCGCCTGCCTCTTGGTTTTGGCTTGGATCATGATCTCGGAGTCGTGAGATGGAGGCCCGCATCGGGTTCTACACTCCGGTGGCATCTGCTTCTGAGTCTCTCCCTCTCTCCCTGGCCCTATGCCGCATGCTCACTCTCTCAAGTGAATTATCTTAAAAAACAACAAAAACAAAGGGGCGCCTGGGTGACCCTGTCGGTTAAGCATCTGACTTTGGCTCAGGGCGTGACCTCAGAGTCCTGGGATCCAGCCTGCAGTGGGCTCCCTGCTCAGCAGGGGGTCTACTTCTCCGTCTCCCTCTGCCCCTGCCCACCCCCCGCTCGTGTCCGTGTACTCTCTCTCATAAATAAAATCTTTTAAAAACACTTAAAAAATGAAGCAAATATTTTTAAGCCACATGTATGTAAATTTTGTGTTCTGATGTTATACTTATTTCGTAAGTATTTACGTACAGCACATGACATAGAATTAATATACTATTAATGGTTTCTAGGAGCATTTCCCCCCTTCTGTTATAAATAATGACCCGTATATTGGTATTAACATCATATTTTCTCCTGCCTTCCTGCCTTACTTGTGCTGTCAGCCTAGAATGTCAATACCTCCCCTGCTCTCCCCTTGTCTGCATATCTGGTGTACTCATCCTAAGAGTTCCGGCTCAAATGCCATCAGCCTTATCCTATTCTCTCAAGCACTGTTACTCAGACAGTACTTTGTATACTTCCAGAACAGAGAATTTTTTATTTTATGGTAATTTTCTTTAAAGATTTTATTTATTCATAGAGACACACAGAGAGAGGCAGAAACACAGGCAGAGGGAGAAGCAGGCTACCTGCAGGGAGCCCGATGCGGGACTCCATCCCAGGACCCTGGGATCACACCTGAGCGGAAGGCAGCTGCTCAACCACTGAGCCACTCAGGTGCCCCTATTTTATGGTAATTATCTGCATATTAGCTCCTCTTCCCCAAAGACTAGGTCTTTTCATCTTTGTTAACCCAATCCTCTGGCACCCCTGCCCAGATCTTACTAGCTAGTAGGTAGAGGTGAGGTTACATTGACAGTTACACTCCGAGTCCACAGTCCCAAAGTTCCTACAAGTCATTACCAACCCCTCAGAGGGGCCCGTGCACATTTTAAGCCCATTGCAGGGAAGAGGTTGGTCATCTCATATATGTTCCTGCCATTGTCTTGCTTAGTTCAGAACCAGCAGATCCTCTTTGTGTTTCCAGAAACCCATATTTATCACCAATAGCCCCCTGCCACCCCCTCCAATTCCTCATATCCTAGTTGTTGATTTTATTTTGGCCTGGAAATGCTAGAAAGACCTATCTACTGCTTAAAGATGTGCTCTCCAGGGCCAGACTATGCAGGATTGAAATCCAGTCCTACCATCTACTGATTATGTAATATAGGGCCTTTTTTTTTTTTTTTGAGCTGGACTGTGCCTCCATTTCTTCAAATGTAAAGGAGGATAACGAGAGTACTTGCCTTAAGGTTGTTGCCAGATTTACATGCTTAGGATATTTGCAAAATGCTTAGTGCCTAGCATATAGTAAGCGCTATATAAATATTAGTTGTCATTCTCTTTACCAAGTGCTTCTAAGTGCAGACTCAATGTCCCACAGCGTAACAGAGCCCAAGTTAGAATTTATAATAATCTTTGCTGAGGAATCCAGAATAATTAAAAGCAATAACAGAAAAGTTTCTGAAATTGGCTGCCCATCTACACTGATTCTCTTTAGGGTGGCCCCCTCCCTATAATAAAGGTAGCAATTCCCTCCCTATTCTGAGGTATCTTCCAGCATATGGGAGTCTGGACCAACCCCTTAAAGACCAGATTGGGGAAAAATGTTAATTTCTTCCCTAATCCAAGATGTGTTTCTCCTTTTCTCCCAGGAGCTACCTTTTCCTAAGACGACTGACAATGTGACTTTCAACTACTTTCAAGGGCTCTCCCGTATACCCAACTGCACTACTCCATCAAAATAATAGTCTGGCATCAGTCATTTTGTAGAATTGAGTTATCCAATCAATCCTGTTCAATTCCTCTTTATAACTGTTTTAGGATAATTTCCATGAGGGCAAGGACTCTGTCTGCCTTGTGCACTACTGTATTCCCAATGCCTGGATGTAGTAGAGATTCCATAAACATTTGCTCATCAATGAGTTCTTCCTTTGAAAAAAGAAGTTCGTGGGTGCCTGGGTTGCTCAGTCAGTTCCTTCAGCTCAGGTCATGATCCCTCTCCATAATCTGCTGCTCCCTCTCCATCTGCCCCTCCTCCTCCTCCTCCTCCTCCTCCTCTCTCTCTCTCAATTTTATTTACTTGAGAGAGAGAGAGAGAGAGAGCAGGAGCAGCGGAGGGTGGGGGTGGGGGAGAAGCAGACTCTCCCCTGAGCAGGGAGCCTGATGCAGGGCTCCATATCGTGACCTGAGCTGAAGCCAGATGCTTAAGTGACTGAGCCACCCAGGCACTCCTAAATAAATACAATCTTAATTTTAAAAAAAGAAAAAAGTTCAGGCCTACATACTCTTCTGTCAGTTTTCTAGATCTTAGCTTCTCATTTCTTGTCAGAATTACATAAAGCAAGAATAAGCTAAATCTATAATTTAAAAATAAATATTTCTCAAAAAGAAATATACAGAGATGCAACTATGGATACAATAGAGATCGCCCTTTATAGTATCACTTATGAGCTCTGCTTTGCTAAGTGGTCTAATAAGGTAAAGTTCCAAATAATGAAACAAAAATAAGATGCAGAGCCTGGGTGGTTGAGTTGGTTCAGTGTCAGACTCTTGATTTTGGCTCAGGTCCTGATCTCAGGGTCCTGAGGTCAATCTCTGTGAGGAGTCCTGTGTGAGGCTCCACTGGGCCTAGCGCCTGCTTGGGAGTCTCTCTGTCCCCCTCCTCAATGCATGCACTCACTCATTCTCTTAAAAAACAAAAATCAGATTTAAAAAGACAGCTTTTTTGGTGCTTATCTTACCCACCAAGATTTTATTTCATGTTTTTTTTTTTAATTTATTTATGATAGTCACAGAGAGAGAGAGAGAGAGAGGCAGAGACACAGGCAGAGGGAGAAGCAGGCTCCATGCACCGGGAGCCCGACGTGGGATTCGATCCCGTGTCTCCAGGATCGCGACCTGGGCCAAAGGCAGGCGCCAAACCGCTGCGCCACCCAGGGATCCCTATTTTTTTTTAAGATTTTCTATTTATTCATAGAGACAGAGAGAGAGAGAGGCAGAGGGAGAAGCAAGAGAGAGACACAGGCAGAGGGAGAAGCAGGCTCCATGCAGGGAGCCTGACGTAGGACTGGATCCTGAGTCTCCAGGATCAGGCTCTGCCTGGGCTGAAGGTGGCGCTAAACCGCTGAGCCACCCAGGCTGCCCTTAAGTCTTTATTTCCCCTAAAAGAGAAGTCTCTAGTGAGATATTACAAAGGTTTGCTTTAGCTTTATCCAATATGTAATTTTTAAAAAGATTTTATTTATTTAAGGATGCCTCGGTGGCTCAGAGGTTGAGCATCTGCCTTCGGCTCAGGGTGTGATCTCAAAGTTTCTGGATCAAGTCCTGCACTGGGTTCCCTGTGAGGGGACCTGCCTCTGCTTCTTTCTGGGTCTCTGCCTCTCTCTATCTCACCTGAATAAATACATAAAATCTTACAAAAAGAAAGAAAAAAGATTGTATTATTTATTTATTTGAGAGGGAGAGTGGGGGGGGGACAAGCAGACTGGAGCTAGATGGAGGAAGGGGGGCACCATGGCCTGAGCCAAAACCGAGTCAGCACTGAACCAACCGAGGCCTCCAGGCACCCCTCAATATATAATGTTTTAAAGAAAGAAATACATAGCATGCCAAAAGAAGACAAAAACTACATTATCATTCTAATGAACGCCGAAACAGTATTTGGAAAAAAATCCTCAACAGCAGGATAGAAGGGAACTTTCTTAACCTGATGTGGAGCACATATGAAGAACTTACATTATACTTAATGAAAAAATATGATGATGCTTTCCCCCCTAAAATCAGAACAAGACCGGGATTTGTGCTCTCAAAAGTCTTATTTAACATTGTACTGGAACTTACAAGCCATTGGAAACTAAGACACAGCTTTGCGTGGATGGGCTACAGAATTTGATGATTAATCTGGTTCGAAATTACTGCCACAGGCTGGATGATCAACGGAGTAAACATGAGATATAAATTAAAGCCAAAATCAAGGTGCTTAGGTTGAAACACCGACAGGAAGATAATGCAACATTCTGCAAAAGCATCAGCGGGTACCTGCTGCGGGCCATGCAATAGGACCCTTGCATGGCAAAACATGTCCAGGCTGGACTAAGGCTAATTTTCCTGCCATCTCTAACCTGCTTTGGCACCTATTAAGAATTCTCTAATTCGACGTGTTGATCCTCCAGGACCCAGGCTGTCCGCTGTACTTTGATTCTCCGCGGTTCCCAACAATCAGCACGAATTTAATGCCCTGCAATCGGATGGCTGCTTTGCCTCTGTTACCTGGGAGCTAAGGAAGCTTGTGCAAACCTCTCAACAGGCTGTCAGGCCCACAGTGCCCCGCGCGGCGCCTGCAACAGCCTGAAAATCTGACAACTCTCCCAAGTTCAGGACCGCGGCCGCGTTTTCCGAGATTACTTTTCTGAGCATGAGCGGAAGTCACCCTTTGAGCAGTCTGCGTGTTTTTTTTTTTTTTTTAAGATGTTAGGTACCATACTAAGAAGCAACCCGCTCCATTCTGATTTTCCCCCCTGGCACCCACAGCAAGTGACCAGGGGACAAATTTGCTTTCGTTACAAGAAAATTAAAGCTCTCGCTCAAAGAAGTCCGAAGGCAGCCCAGCACCCTGTCTTCCCACAGTAAAGATGGCGGCCCCCTGCGTGTAGACTATACGGGCGATGCCACTTCCGCGTTTCTCTTTTGCCTTCGTCCAAGATGGCGGACGAGGCCACCCGGCGTGTGGTGTCTGAGATCCCGGTGCTGAAGACTAACGCCGGACCTCGAGATCGTGAGTTGTGGGTGCAGCGACTCAAGGAGGAATACCAGTCCCTCATCCGGGTTAGTTGTGCCTCTGCGGCCGATCGCGTCGCGGAAGGGTTGCGGGGAGTCCGGTGTCCCTGAGAATAGGCTCCGTGCGGAAGCCGCTTCCGGTTATAAAATTTAACGCCCAGATTCTTAGAAGCTGGACGATTGGGGGGCTGGGGGAGCTCAGCGAGCCTGGAAGGGGAGGAGGCAAAAGAAACTCGGTTTAGGGGCCCCAGTGGGGCCAAAGCAGCAGTTATTTTAGGGACACGCCTCCCCGGAAGGTGACGTGTCCCTCTGGCTGCAGGTGTTTGCTCTGCTGGATGTAGGGAGGTTGTCCGAGGAATTCCTGGGGCTCCAGGCCCCCGTGGCTTCTCTCTGCTCCCTCCTCCACCCTTCCCGAGGAAGGAACACACCCTGGGGCTGAAAACCCTAGTAAATGTTGCAGAGAGTTGAGGGGTTAGGCTCACAGCTGGGAATGAGCCATCCTCTCAGCAATTCTCCCCAATGTGCAAAGGGGAGAGTTTCTTTTCCTTGCAGTGGTCTCTGCCTCTTTCCAAGGCAGCAGCAACCCTGACACACGTATTTATTTTCATTAACACACACCCACACACACCCACACCCACATACATTTGTTGTGCACGTAGCACCTAGAATCGAGATCCAGAACCGGATAAGCTGGAGCCTACCGAGATAGGTAGGAACAAAGTCATTATAATAGATCAAGGGAGGGAGACGAAGAGATTGCTAAGATGTCCTGAGAGCAGAGGTGAGACACCTAATCCGGTGTGGGTCGGTCCGGGAAGGCTTCAATGAAGAAGGGTGCTGGAGCTGAGCCCTAAAGGGTAAACCTAAGTGAGCCTGATAAACATGAGGATGCTCCGGAGGGATGTTCACAAGAACGGCAGGAGCAAGAGCATGGAAGCTACAAATGGCACGAGGGGTACGAAGAAACAGAAGTAGTTCAGAGTTGCTGAAGTCATCCAGTGTATGGGAGGGGATGCTAGGCAAGGCTTGAGAGAGAAGCTTGAGTACTTGGATGTTGTCTTGGAGGCACTGGGATACCTTTGAAGTATTTTAAGCTGGGGAATAACATGCTCAGATTGGTTTTAAACCAATCACAGTGACTAGAGAGAAAAGTAGAACTAAAAGAGATGCGACTGAAGGCGGGAAACAAATTAGGAGGCTGGCATTAATCCAGGCAAAAGAAAGGTGATGATCTAAACTGGATGGTTCTAGTGAGGATAGAGAGAAGAGGGAGATCTGAAGACCATTCAGAAGGTAAAAATCAGTAGTATGTCGTCGGGAAGGATTGGTGTAGAGTAGAAGAGAGGGAAGGTCTGGGACGCCCGGGTGGCTCAGGGGTTGAACACCACCTGCCTTCGGCCCGGGGCGTTACCCCGGGGTCCCCGGATCGAGTCCTGTGTTGGGCTCCCTGCATGGAGCCTGCTTCTCCCTCTGCCTGTGTCTCTGTGTGTCTCATGAATACAATAAAATCTTTTAAAACAAAAGAAGAGAGGGAGAGTCCATGATGATTCCCACAGTCTGGCTTGCAGGACTGAGCGAAGGCTAATACTGTCCTCTGAGATCGATGCAGTGGAGATATGGCCTGAAGGACTGGGTGGGGGGATGGCAAGTTTGAGGTACCTGTGCAATGAAGTTAGAAGTTTCAGTATACAATTGGATAGTAGGCTCCGAAGCTCTGAGAAAGGGTCTGGATTAAAATAATGATTTGGAAATGATCAGCGTGTGGGTACTCGTCAAAACCAGGACCACATGAGGTCCTCCAGGGAGGGAGTATACCATAAAATGGCTTGTGGGCTGAGGGGCAGACACTATCAGAAATGGGAAGAAAACTCAGGCAATATTGAGTGTTTTATGCTTGCTGAACTAAGTGGGACCCAACCATTCTATTCTCTGCTCTGAACAAGTCTCCTGCTTCCCAGTGTAACTTTGTCTTCGGCTTTGCTCGTGTCAGAAAAGCTGGGTACATACTAAGAAAGAAAGTAATCACATACTTTGCTTTTGAGGGAAGAGGGACTGCCCCCTCAAAGACCTCATTCTCTGCTTTTAGTATGTGGAGAACAACAAGAATGCGGACAATGATTGGTTCCGACTGGAGTCCAACAAGGAAGGGACTCGGTAGGCAGACCCTCTTGGGAGTCTTGGGGGGTGGGAATCTTACATGGCTTGAGCATTTTAATGTCCCAAAGCCCGCTGTCAGACGCCTTCCGTGCTTCCTATTAGCTGTCCCCGCTCCCACAGCTCCAGAGTTCCCCAATTCCCATCCCATGAGTCTCCCAAGCTGATCACCTAAGCCAAAAACATCGTATGAGAAGGATGGCAGATTGGACTGAGGTTTGGTCTTTCTTACAGGTGGTTTGGAAAATGCTGGTACATCCATGACCTGCTCAAATACGAGTTTGACATTGAGTTTGACGTGAGTATGATGGAATGGGAAACATGGAGGTTAGTCCAAGGGGAGGGTTTAGGTGATTATTACAAGCTAACCTTTCTTGGATGGGCCAAAGAAAACTTTTAAAGTGGGAGGGAACCGCTAAGGCTTGAAGCAAGCATAGATGACAGCTGCTGGTCTTCATATCCAGGACCCCGGTGTGTACATGCTGCTTGGGGGTGTTTGTCAGACATTTCAGTTCATCCAAGAAATGGGTATTGATTAGATTGGTTCCTTTCTATCCTGATTCTGTTTCGTTAAGGCCTTATAATTTCTCCAGATTCCTGTCACATATCCTGCTACTGCTCCAGAAATTGCGGTTCCTGAACTGGATGGAAAAACAGCAAAGATGTACAGGTAGGACTCAATAGGAAATGGGAAAAGGGCAAAGAGGCGTTAGGAAAGAACTCTGGGCCTGGATTTTTCCCAGAGTTGGCTTGCCTAGAGGGTCTCCAGCCCTCCGTCTGCCAAGTCTGAGCAAGGTACTTAGCTGACCTTGTGCTCAATTCTGATCACTAGTGGTTGATTATCTTTTGCTTCCAAGAGGCTACTATGCTTCATGGTAAACTTTGCATGTCAACACCTTCTTCTTCTCGTCCCTCTCATAGGGGTGGCAAAATATGCCTGACTGACCACTTTAAGCCTTTGTGGGCCAGGAACGTGCCCAAGTTTGGGCTAGCTCATCTTATGGCTCTGGGGGTAAGTTTGGGGTGTTTGGCATATAAGGAGGGCGGAGAGAATTAGGCACTGAGCAATATAAGAAAAGTAATTGAGAATAAACAAGGTATGACAGTATTTACCTTGAGCATGTTCCTATAGAATCTGTATGGGAAGGAGCTTCTAATGGAACAAGAGGCATTGAGAGTGTGGTAGTCATCTCACAGGGTCTCCCTTATATTGCAGCTGGGTCCATGGCTGGCAGTGGAAATCCCCGATCTGATTCAGAAGGGCGTGATTCAGCATAAAGAGAAATGCAACCAATGAAGGATCAAGCCACTGAGGCAGGACAGAGGGACCTTTGATAGGCTACGTTCCTGCTTTCTCTGCATCACTCTTACTCATCCAGTTGCTTCCCCCAAACCCCTTCACCCATAATTGTTACTAAGTAGCTGCATCAGGCATTGCTGGGGGGAAAATAATAACAGCATTGCTACTGAATTTCCAAGGCTACACAGGGAGGGGAAAAGACCGGGGCTTTGGGAAACCAAAAGACAATCTGTATCCCTTCTCCAGGTGGGGCAATGTGAGATTCCGGAAGGATGGGGAGGGGGGGTGCCTGCCGAAAGTGGGTGCATAGCTTTTTTGGTTTTTGGAGATAAACTCATCAATAAAAGCTGCTTTCCTCTGGTGGCCCGTGGCTCTCATTGGTGGGTGTGAAGAGAGGGTGAGCTGGCTAAGCCCCAAGGCACAAGTACAACTACATTAGTTTGGGAGGGAGGGGAAATGGAGGATGATGCTGTGGTCAGGAGCTGGGAACTAAAAGGAAATCTTGGACCGCTCTCCCTCCTGCCGAGGTCTGCTTGTGTCCTTTACCGGGTGGGTACCTACTGCTTTGGTCTGCAAGATGCTTGAGGAATGGCTTTGCAGGACCAGCATTCCCCGCCCTCCAGGGATCTTCTCATCCCTGCCGCTCCACCGGTCTGCGGGCTGGACGGGCATTGCAGCTCCTCCCAGGGAAGGCTCTGTGCTGCAAGCCTGGGGGCCAGGCTACGGGTATCACGTCCACATCCCTACGGTCCCAGGACCCTGCACTTCAGGGACTCAGGAGCGATGGTTTAAAAACAATTCAGGGCAGGTCTGGGAACTGGCGCTCCCCTAGTTGGCTGCGTTTCCATGGCGGCGGCGGCGGAGCCAAGGGGGTGGGTTCACGCAAGCGCAGAGGAGGCAGGTGGGCGGCCGCCGAGTGTGGGCGCGCAGGCGCCGTGAGAGGCGGTGAAGCCGGCGGCCGGTGGCCGGGCGGGACCAACAAAGATGGCGGCGGCCCCTGCGGCGGGACAGACCTGGGCATCGGCTGCGGCCACGGCTGCAGCCCGGCCCTCGGGGGGGCTGCACGGGGGGAGCAGGGGGTGGCCCTGAGCTGGGGCTTGGCCCCAGCTGGGCTCCCCCGCCGCCTCACCGGGGGACAGGTACGGGCCCGGGCGCTGGGGCTGGGGCGGGGGGGGGGCGCGGGGAGACGGCCCGGGACCCCAGAGGACGCCGTCCGCACCGGCGGGGGGGGCCGCGCAGGCCCGGGGGAGCCGGCCTGGAGGGACAGCATCCTCGGGCCGCAGGGGATACGCCGCCGACCCCGCAGCCAATCAGCGGCCTCGGCCTTCTGCCCTCGAGGGGGGCGGACCCGGCTGAAGCCTGCGGCGGTGGGAGAGGTGCGGAGATCCGGGTCCGGGAGTAGTTCGTCGTCCCCCCCCCCGCCCTCCCCGACACCTCGTGGGCGCCCAGGGCTGGCGGGGGGGGGAGGGCCCGGTCGGGCGGCTTCGTTTGCAGCCCGGAGGGGCGGGGGGTGGAGGGCGGGGTGCTCCTTCCCGGCACCTCCCCACGTCCACACCGTGTTTGCCCCGAGGTTCTGAGTGACCCGGGGCACCCCCCGCTTGAGCAGCCGGGTGCGGGGCCCTTGGGAGCCTTGGATGGTGAAGAGGCCGAGATGGAGACTCTCCTCGGCTTTCCAGCCCAGCTGCTCCTGCAGGAGGGGCGTTCCGGAAGCCTCCGAGCCGCGGGCTGCTGTCACCGGGTCCTTTACTCGGTGGATACTAAGTATCTGCTGTGCGGAAACACCACGCCCGGCACCGGGGACACTAACTGAGAGAGATGTGCTTCCTCCCCTCAGTGCGGGTGCAAGCTAGTTGGTGCCTCCACGTTCACACGCTGACCCTCTCTTCTCCTCGTAGGTCCAGCCTGTGGTGTCCACGATGCCCCAGGCCTCTGAGCACCGCCTGGGCCGGACCCGAGAGCCACCTGTTAATGTCCAGCCACGAGTGGGATCCAAGCTACCATTTGCCCCGAGGGCCCGAAGCAAGGAGCGCCGAAACCCAGCCCCTGGGCCGAACCCCATGTTAAGACCTCTGCCTCCCCGGCCAGGTCCCCCCGAGGAACGGCTCAAGAAACTGGAGCTGGGACGGGGACGGACCTCAGGTCCTCGTCCCCGAGGACCCCTCCGGGCAGATCATGGAGTTCCCCTGCCTGGCTCACCACCCCCAACTGTGGCTCTGCCTCTCCCTTCCAGGACCAACCTAGCTCGTTCCAAGTCTGTGAGCAGTGGGGACTTGCGTCCTATGGGGATTGCCTTGGGAGGGCATCGTGGTGCTGGAGAGCTAGGGGCCGCGCTGAGCCGCCTGGCGCTCCGGCCTGAGCCTCCCACCCTGAGACGGAGCGCCTCTCTCCGCCGCCTCGGGGGCTTTCCTGGTCCCCCCACCTTGCTCAGTATACGGACGGAGCCCCCTACTTCCCATGGCTCCTTCCACGTCATATCTGCCCGGCCCTCTGAGTCTTTCTACTCCGATGACAAAATGGTGAGGACTCGCCAGCACACGTGGCCTTCCAAGCCCATGCTCCTCTCTGCCTCCAGCTTTCTTGCCATCACGTGGCTTTCTTTTCCCTCTTTTCCCCAATCCCTCATTACAGCAGCTGGGACTCTTCTCTCCCTCACTTAAGTACCACTGCGCCTCATAGACCTTTTCCAGGGTTTTCTGTGACTCCCTAGCATGATGTGCCATTTCGGTCCCCAGAGATTTAATCCAGCCATTGCGAATTCTTCTCTGGGTCCCCAGGGCCCTTACTCTCCCTTGCTTCACTTTCTCTCCTAGGACGCTGCCTAGGCCTAATTAATCTCTGGAGCTGACGAGGGGCGGGCTCAGAATATCTGAGTTAGTGTGGTTGCCCATTTCCCAAGCCAAGTGAGCTTAGGTTGATTGCAGTTGGAGCCATCAGGAGAGGGTTCAGGAAGGGGCCACGGGGGCAGGACGGGGCTTTGGGGGAAGCAAGGTGGGTGTGGGGAGCAGCTGGGCAGCCATGCCAGTGCTTGGGGAGCTGCCCCAGGAGCTGCAGCGCCGGCTAGCTGGGCAGAGGAGTAAGTGGGGAACAGGCGGGACAGCCATGGCCGAGTCCGTGGTACACTCAGCTGTGATGGGCTTACTGCTCATGGCCAGTGAGGTAGGGAGCCCCCAGTACCCCGTGAGGGAAGGAGGGTGGAGTTTGAGGGTGAAGGACGGGGATGGGGAAGCAGTGGGCAGCATGCTGTAGAAAGGTTAAAGTGCCAGGTGGGATACATGGGAACCTGCTGACTCTACTCTGACCTTCCAGGCTCATCACACACTGCTTCTGGGCTCTGGTCACGTTGGCCTCCGAAATCTGGGGAACACGGTGAGAGCCATTCTCCTGTCCAGCATTTCTAAAAGGAATGGAAATGGTGCTGGGGGCAGGGCGCTGACTTTTAGAAGGTGGGGAAGGTGGGGAAGATGGGAAAGGAGAGCACTGAAGCTCTTCTAGGCTTCCGGTCGGTCCCTGGTCTGCAGAAATAACAGCGGTGTCTCCTGCTCCCCAGTGCTTCCTGAATGCAGTGCTACAGTGTTTGAGCAGCACTCGGCCTCTTCGGGACTTCTGTCTGCGAAGGGACTTCCGGCAAGAGGTGCCTGGAGGGGGTCGAGCCCAAGAGCTCACTGAAGGTGCAGCAGCCACTCCTGCTCCCACCTTTCCAGTCCTCTCCCCAACCTCTGGGTCCATCTGCCAGCCCCGACGGCCCCGACCCTTGAGTCTGGGAGTTGTATCTTTTTACTGGTGCCTGCTTCCTTAGAGGTTGTCTTCTGCCCTCTGAGCCTCCTGTGGCTTGCCTCTTCCAGTCATTAACCCCTCTTTCCCCACACCCACCCCAACAGCCTTTGCAGATGTGATTGGTGCCCTGTGGCACCCTGACTCCTGTGAAGCTGTGAATCCTACTCGATTCCGAGCTGTCTTCCAGAAATACGTTCCCTCCTTCTCTGGATACAGGTGGGAGAGCTAGAGGGTATGACATTCTGTGGCCACATCTGGGGGTTGGACCAAGCAGGGGCCCTGGCACCATTGTTCTGAGCCTTCAGATGTGCTTGATCCAGGAAGTGGGGACCGATGTCTGGGCAGGAGATACTGTCTGTGGACCAGGGGCGGGGGCTGCCAGTTGCCCAACACTCTGTTTCTGGCTGTAGCCAGCAGGATGCCCAAGAGTTCCTGAAGCTCCTCATGGAGCGGCTGCACCTCGAAATCAACCGGCGGGGCCGCCGGGCTCCGCCAATCCTGGCCAGCAGTCCAGCTCCCGCCCAGCCCCGTCGCGGAGGAGCTCTGCTAGAAGAACCTGAGTTGAGGTAAAGTCACTTTCTCTCCCTTGTGTTCCCAGTAGTTTCTCAGCAGCCACTGTCCTTCATAGAACTGAGCTCATCAAGACAGGCTGTAGGGTCCAGGGAAACACCCAGTCTAGAAAATGGTTTGAGAAGCCGTGAAGAAGTCCGAGGAAGGAGGCCAAGGGGGGCAGATGGCGGCAGAGGCTAGTGCTAGGGGTGGCCCTGGGCTGAGGGGAGGAGAGCTCATTTACAGCCCGGTACATACAGTGTTTAAAGCCAGGTCAAGTCAGCTGTTCCCTGCCTGTGTTCCTGCCTTTCCCTCTCGCCTTGGGTTTCCCCAGAAAGTCTTCTAAAGCAGTACTCCTTTTTTTGTTGTTGTTAAGATTTTATTCACTTATTTTAGAGACAGTGAGGAGAGAGAGAGAAAGACCATGGACAAGCAGAGGGGAAGGGCAGATGGAGAGGGAGAAGCAGGCTCCCCACCAAGCAGGGAGCCCGATGTGGGGTTCAATCCCAGGACCCTGGGATCATGACCCGAGCAGAAGGCGGACACTTAACCAACTGAGCCACCCAAGCGCCCCTAAAGCATTACTCCTATGACACTTCTTTGAAATGTAGAGAAGGAGCTGGGGTTTGGGTGGGGTGCAGGGCTGTATGGGTCATTGCCATGGTGTTGGGGATGCCCAGTGTTCCCCTGTCTCATGGGTGCTCCCCACTTCCCTTGATCTGCGGTAGTGATGACGACAGAGCCAACCTAATGTGGAAGCGTTACCTGGAGCGAGAAGACAGCAAGATTGTGGGTACGGAACAGACAAAGCCATGTGGGATGATCGGGGGGGGGGGGCATTGCAGGCTTGGGAGAATTGACACTGTGGTGAGGGGTGTGGGGGCAAGGCCAGATGATGGAAGTGTGGACGGGCTTTGTTAGGGGTTTGTTAGGAGCGTGGGGGTTAGGAAGGGAAGTGTCGGCCCAGCCGTGGGAAGAGAGGGGAACCCAAGGAAGCATCTCGGGCTCCCCACAGTGACTGTTTCTCCCGCCTCTTCGCT